CGTTAGTCCATCACAACCCCCCCCCCAACCCCCCATCAAAGCACGCCATGGGTTTAGCTTGTTGTAGAAGCATAAGCCATCACGCGAACTCCATTAATTTCTTCCCAGCAGCGGCTTTTGGCAAGCCATCGAACGAAGACGGTCACCGCATCGCGCGCCGTCTGCAGCGCTCTTCCTTCCGATATCTGTGACACTACTGGACGTCTGTGAAAATAGCTTCATAGCTCATCGGATTCCTCCACTAAAAATCTAAATTCTGATTCTGAGGAAGCAAGCTATTAACTTTTAAGTCGATATTGACAACTCATTTCTTTAGAACTGCTTTTTTGTGTTTAGTTTGTTGTCCTTTTCCCCCGCACCTACAATTGGCACGGTTGGCTGTGTACGGTGCGAAAGAAGTTCAACACGCACACAGTACGTACAACCCATCGGAATGTCCACTCCAAACACGCATTCTCCCCTCTCATGTCCCAGCCAGACCTTGCCACCCCAAGGGAATACTCCGTCAAGTTGCCTGTCTGTCATCATGTTTAATTAATATTTCAGCCTGCCATTTTCGCAGACGGGTTTGTTAACCCTGATATTAAAATGCAAAAAAAACACAAATAGCCCCTATCTCGTCGCTAATAGATAAGGCAAATACAGTTATATTGCCCTCACCACAACAGGTACTCCCATTATGCAATTTTTCTTCCATCAGCATTTTATATTTAACAAAAATGCGTTTATTTTAGTACCGAAATGCTTTTTGGTTATTGAAGGGTCTGTCTGTTATTCACTTGCGAGTGATAGGTAACTATTCCTATGCTATTTAAAAATAAAAAAATAAACTTCATCACGAAACATTTTTAAAAGGTAATTTTTATCGATCACCACGGTGTTTATTAATTGAATACTAAATTTATACGATACAGCGTTATCGATACACTGCTGGATGAGGGCCTCCCCACACCGTGCGGGTCATGGGGGTTATTTGAACATACTTCACTATGCAATGCCTGGTGGCGGGGGGGGGGGTATGGGAGCATAGAAGTACAGAACAATAGATTTTTGTATGGGAGCATAGAAGTACAGAACAATAGATTTTTGTATGGGAGCATAGAAGTACAGAACAATAGATTTTTGTATGGGAGCATAGAAGTACAGAACAATAGATGTTTGTATGGGAGCATAGAAGTACAGAACAATAGATTTGTGTCCATTATTTGTCCAGAATCGTTTTTTTGGGGTTAGATTGCGTAAATATAAATGTGTCGTTAATCCCGCCAGCACCCGGCGCAGCCAATTAGTAAGGGTTGTCACGTAAACAGAACGTGCCAATTCGTCACTGGTACAGCCGGTGTGTTGATAGAGAAAATCCACAACATTTACAATACATGTTTTGCTTTTCCTCTCTGCTGCCTACCCACCACGTTAGCCTACGATACCAGTCAGCGCATTGGTCACCCGTCCCACCCCAAAACACGACGCAGGCTCGACCACAGTGCCGGATTATCCTAGTAGCAAAAGTAGCTACATATGTACAGTGAGGGAAAAAAGTATTTGATCCCCTGCTGATTTTGTACGTTTGCCCACTGACAAAGAAATGATCAGTCTATAATTTTAATGGTAGGTTTATTTGAACGGTAGGTTTATTTGAACAGTGAGAGACAGAATAACAACAACAAAATCCAGAAAAACGCATGTCAAAAATGTTATAAATTGATTTGCATTTTAATGAGGGAAATAAGTATTTGACCCCTCTGCAAAACATGACTTAGTTCTTGGTGGCAAAACCCTTGTTGGGAATCACAGAGGTCAGACGTTTCTTGTAGTTGGCCTCCAGGTTTGCACACATCTCAGGAGGGATTTTGTCCCACTCCTCTTTGCAGATCTTTTCCAAGTCATTAAGGTTTCGAGGCTGACGTTTGGCAACTCGAATCTTCAGCTCCCTCCACAGATTTTCTACGGGATTAAGGTCTGGAGACTGGCTAGGCCACTCCAGGACCTTAATGTGCTTCTTCTTGAGCCACTCCTTTGTTGCCTTGGCCGTGTGTTTTGGGTACTGGAATACCCATCCACGAACCATTTTCAATGCCCTGGCTGAGGGAAGGAGGTTCTCACCAAAGATTCGACGGTACATGGCCCCGTCCATCGTCCCTTTGATGCGGTGAAGTTGTCCTGTCCCTTTAGCAAAAAAACACCCCCAAAGCATAATGTTTCCACCTCCATGTTTGACAGTGGGGATGGTGTTCTTGGGGTCATAGGCAGCATTCCTCCTCCTCCAAACACGGCGAGTTGAGTTGATGCCAAAGAGCTCCATTTTGGTCTCATTTGACCACAACACTTTCACCCAGTTGTCCTCTGAATCATTCAGATGTTCATTGGCAAACTTCAGAGTGCATGTATATGTGCTTTCTTGAGCAGGGGGACCTTGTGGGCGGTGCAGGATTTCAGTCCTTCACGGCGTAGTGTGTTACCAATTGTTTTCTTGGTGACTATGGTCCCAGCTGCCTTGAGATCATTGACAAGATCCTCCCGTGTAGTTCTGGCCTGATTCCTCACCGTTCTCATTATCATTGCAACTCCACGAGGTGGGATCTTGCATGGAGCCCCAGGCCGAGGGAGATTGACAGTTCTTTTGTGTTTCTTCCATTTGCGAATAATCGCACCAACTGTTGTCACCTTCTCACCAAGCTGCTTGTCTTGTAGCCCATTCCAGCGTTGTGTAGGTCTACAATCTTGTCCCTGACATCCTTGGAGAGCTCTTTGGTCTTGGCCATGGTGGAGAGTTTGGAATCTGATTGATTGATTGCTTCTGTGGACAGGTGTCTTTTATACAGGTAACGAGCTGAGATTAGGAGCACACTCTTAAAGGGAGTGCTCCTAATCTCAGCTTGTTACCTGTATAAAAGACACCTGGGAGCCAGAAATCTTTCTGATTGAGAGGGGGTCAAATACTTATTTCCCTCACTAAAATGCAAATCAATTTATAACATTTTTGACATGCGTTTTTCTGGATTTTGTTGTTGTTATTCTGTCTCTCACTGTTCAAACAAACCTACCATTAAAATTATAGACTGACCATTTCTTTGTCAGTGGGCAAACGTACAAAATCAGCAGGGGATTAAATACTTTTGTCCCTCACTGTAGCTACGGGCCCCGCACTTTCAAGCTATCAATTCCGGTTCAGTGATTCTGCACTTGCTCTATTACTACAGTACTATACCGCCTTCAACTTTTATGAACGACTGGGTGTTTAAGGTTAGCGATTTGTCGCTTTATCTGGCTGTATAGCAAATGAAAAAAAATACAATTACTTTACTATTGCAAGTGAAAAATGTGTGTGTTTTAATATTTATGTGTTTATTTTTTAACTAGCTAGTTTGCCTGTTCAATGACGGGTGTATATTGCAGTCAATCTGAAAAACATGCAATAGAAAAATTGGTTCTTTCGGTAAAGTAAAATAATAAAAATATTATATATTTTTATTATTTTTATTATTTTGCTTTACCGAAAGAACCAAGAATAATCATGAGCTGAACAATTTTTCTATTGCATGTTTTCCAGATTGACTGCAATATACACCCGTATAATATTTTATTAAAATAATAAAAATATAACATTTTTTTATTATTTTATTGTTTCCCTTCTACGTGACTTTACCGAAAGGACCAAGAATATGAATCCCTGCAGTCACGAAAGCTTTAAATCAAAATTCAGCTCATGATTATTAATGAGAGAGGGGGGGGGGGTGCCCCATGTGGAGTGACGTCACCCCCTCATGGTTATTGTGGAGGGGTGCGGCATGTGGAGTGTGCGACCTTCTTGTGCGTCAGTGTAAATGTCCACGTGGGCATAAATATTAATGAAGGGGGGGGGGGCTCTTTTGCAAGTGACGTGACGCACAGATGTAGCACTGTGCTGCGTAGATGTATTTTTTACCGTCACTTTCTGTAAAGAAGCGTCATATTTGAAGCGACTTTGCGCAATAAATTATTTACCATACTGCCTCTACTTGACTACTGTGACATCGTGTATAAATCAGCCCCAAGTACTGTACTGAAGAAGCTTGATTCCATCTATCACTCGGCCTTAAGATTTGCATTGAACTGCCCATATAGGACTCACCACTGTGATCTCTACATTGGGTCAAACTTAACATCTCTTAATGTTCGACGGCTTGTGCACCAGATCTTATTTATTCACGATGTACTTACAAAAAATTCCCCAGACTACCTACTGGATCTCCTCTCTGTTTCAAAGAACAAATTTGACCTCAGGTCTTCGCTCATTTACCAGCTTCACATTCCCTATTGCCGTACAAAAACTGGATGAAGGACCTTTGCTATTGATGCCCCCAGGGTCTGGAATGCTATTGCCAATAAACTGCAACTTGAATCACTACCTATGAGATCTTCTCTCAAAACTGCTCTAGAGGAGTTGTACACCCCTAGCTGCCACTGCGATTCAGTGGCCTAAGATATAGCTCTAGATTTTGGTGTTATAATTTATTTATGTAGTTTATTGTTAAAAATTCGGTCACAGTCCCTATGATCACTGTTACATTGGATGTATGGCTTTTATTTTGGTGATTTCGAAAACTTTTTTTTTAGTTTTGGCCATGTTTATGTCTATTGTAGTACGGAGTTAGACTGATGGCCTTAATCTTAGTTGTCTTGTGGTTGTTGTTGTTATTTGACTTGCATCCCACTGGGATTTTTGCACACAGCATTGGTGTACGGTGCTATTTCAGGAATATTTTGATATTTTTTCCTGTATTTTCTGTTTGCACAGTCACATAATCACTTTAAGATGTTTTCTTGTTCATGTTTTTTTGTTTGTTGCGGTTGCATCCGATTCAAGAGCCGAATGGCTCACAGGGCTATACCAAATAAATGAACTATGAACTATTTAAGCCTCATGTGGAGTGACGTCACGCGGAGGGCCTCATGTTGAGTGACGTCACGCAGGGGGGGAGCCACATGTGGAGTGACGTCACGCGGGTGTTGGCGTCAAGTAGAGTGACGTCACGCGGGGGTTGGCCTCAAGTGGAGTGACGTCACGCGCGGGACACATTCTTGGATTATTTTCGTCATAATTTCGGGCCCCTTTATCACACATGCTACAGGCCCCGCACTAGCTTAGTCCGGCGCTGCTCGACCCCACCTTTGGGGCTTCCCGAGACACCACCCCCCGCCCCACCCCCCCCGGAGTGGTCGACTTTTTGGGGGCGTTTTTAACAAACGACCGCCAACCACGGAGGCGGTGCCTCCGGAACGTTTCCCGTGACGTTTCGCGCGCGGCGATGATGTGCCCGCCACCAATGACGTCATGTAACCCGGTCCTCGTCGACGCCGGATGCCACGTGCTTGCTCGGTGGACGGAGCGCGTGGCTTGAGCGGTCGGAGTCTCCACGGCTAGGCCGAGTTCCAACTCCCGGCGATTTGGGGGGGGGGGGTTTCTTCTCGGTCGGATTTGTCTGGAAGCGACCCCTCGTCTCCTCTACCCTCCCCCAACTCCCCATCCCACTCTCATCATGAATCCGATGATAGCCGAAGTGAGCGTGCAGGACCTGTGCGATTGGTTCACCATCGACAAGAAGCCGCAGAACATTCGAGTGCTGCCGGAGAAAGCTACGGCCAGAAATGGAGGACTGTGGTCTGCAGCGCGGCCCCAGCCGTCGTACGTGCACGAGATGAGCTGGGTTTTGGGCTGATTGGGCAACACGCGCCCGCTAACATTGGGCGACACTTGTTTACTAACACTGGGCGACACGTGTTTACTTACACTGGGCGACACGTGTTTACTAATACTGGGCGACACGTGTTTACTTACACTGGGCGACACGTGTTTACTTACACTGGGCGACACTGCCTACTAATACTGGGCGACACGTGTTTACTTACACTGGGCGACACTGCCTACTAATACTGGGCGACACGTGTTTACTTACACTGGGCGACACTGCCTACTAATACTGGGCGACACGTGTTTACTAACACTGGGCGACACTGCCTACTAACACTGGGCGACACGTGTTTACTTACACTGGGCGACACTGCCTACTAATACTGGGCGACAAGTGTTTACTTACACTGGGCGACAGACACGTGCCTACTAACACTGGGCGACACGTGCCCACTAACACTTGGGACCTCTCAACATGCGTATAGGGCCGCTACATCCTAACACGGGCGCCTGTAAGTGCTCAACACTTTAGAAACAGCAATATCTGTACGAATTTAGTTTTTAAGATCTGTACATTAACACACGGGCACCTGTGCAATCATACACTGAGAAATATCACTTCAATATGGGGCCCCCTAAAGTAACAACGCTAAGCAGACAGTGGCGTAACTCCCGTACCAGACCTTTCAGAATCCTTAGTTATTTTGTAACAATATTACTCGTAAATCGTAATAATAAATCGTAATAAATAATATTACTCGTAAATCGTAATTCCCGTATATCACTGAATGTAATGGCAATTGTAGTGACGTAAACAACTAGCAAAAGAAAAATTACACCGTTAAATGACAATGTACGTACAGCCTGAATGTACTTTTACATAATTTCACGTGGTAAAAGTGACAATTCGGTAAGAAAACAGAATTCGAAGTAAAAAAACGTCCAAACATTTAAGAACTACATTAAATCAGATATATATTTGCAAGACTGATGTTTTTAAAGAAAATAAAAAAGACAAATGAAAAATATAATTTAAGATTTAAGTTACATTTATAAACGTATCAAGAAACATAGCATTTCACCCCACTTCGTGTTTGAACTTGTTAATTTCTCTTATTCAGGGGCCGTCCATAAATGACGTCACGCACCTAGGGGGTCAGACATTTGTGACGAGGGGGGGGGGTTTGAGAAATGTGATTGTTATAACAACACTAATTTTGATTAATTTTCAATATTAACTATTTGATTCTTATAATTGACCAAGGTCACCTTTTATTTACTCCATGAAGGAGCATTTTGCTTCTGGGAAGAATGGAGAAGCATTCATTTTGAACATTTTTTTAATGATTGTTATTAAACATTTTGATTATAATGATTCTACCAGGGCTTTTCATTCTGTGGAATGAATATATGATTGTTATAATTGTACTCTCCATTTTGCTTCGTTCTACTACAAAGTTTCAAGTACTTTTTGTATAGTTATAATTACTTTAATATTTTATAATTACAGTATAAGGTAATTTCAATATAATATTCTGAACATCTGCAGTTTTAGTTAGACGTTGAATATTTACAAGTGAATTTATGCTAAATTTAAGCTTTCCAACGCCTTTTTAATACGTGTTTTCTCCTACAACATTAGAGCGCATCCCACTGTGATTTTTGCACACAGCGTTGGTGCACGGTGCTATTTCAGCAATATTTTGATGTTTTTTTCCTGGATTTTCTGTTTGCACATGCACAAAGTCACTTTAAGATGTTTTCTTGTTCATGTTTTTTTGTTTGTTGCGGTTGCACCCGATTCAAGAGCCGAATGGTTCACAGGGCTATACCAAAATAAATGAAACTATGAGTGCAGCGCCACATTAAATACGCACTACAATGACAATAGTTTAAATCGATTTTTTTCAAAATATAAATATGGTTTTGGGGGGGGGGGGATGCAGAGCTTTTTGACGTCATATTTGAGGGGGGTCTGACTTTTTGTGACGTCGGTGACGAGGAAGGGGGGGGGTCAAAAATCGTCCCAATTCGCGTGACGTCATTTATGGACGGCCCCTTAATGATCAAATAGTTATACTGTATAATCAATAATTGTTCTACATGTAAGTTTATTAATTTTAATCATAGAGTAATATGTGATATAGTTTAAATTGCTTAAATGTAATACTTAGATTATATGAATAATAACAAAATTGTTTTGTAAACTTTCTACATTGAATTACAACATTATTAGTTACAACATTATTAGTGACTGAGCGGAAGCCTTTTTATTTTTCTCGTTTTCCTTTAATTACTACTTCATTCTCAAAAAAGTTTTTGATATAGGTTCACATATACTAATTACCAATATTGTAGCTAAAAACACCAGAAAATTTGACAAAATCAGCGACTATATAAACACGAGCAGCAACGAAAACAACAGCGCGTGCTCGGAGCGCGTGCAGACGAAACCACGTGACTCGAAGCGTCACTGTCATTGGGTGATAATGACAGCTCTGACCGGAGTGCATTAGAAGGTTCAAAAAAGTAAATTAGCATAGAGTTTTAGGCTTGTAGGTATATTGATACAGTACATGTAAGCTGGGCTTACGAAACATGTTTTTGTTATAACTAACTACAGGGATGCTTTTATAAAAATAAAAAAAAATTCTGCTTAAACACTGCACAAAAATGTTATAGGCAGTCATTTTGGTGTCACCCTCTCTGATGGTGTCACCCGGTGCGGTCCGCACCTCCCTAGTGATGCCACTGCGTACAGCCGCTTTGATAGTCTTATGATGGGACCGCTCAGAATTCAATCAGAACGTAGGTCTCTCGCTGAGACGAAAACTTTAAAACAGGACTTCTACAGTCACATCTGAGACTTCTCAACATCGATGCAGCACCTGTACTCAAACAGCGGGACCTCTCGACACTCATTACCTTGATCCGGCGCCTTTCAGCATTCATCAGGGGACGTCTGCGTTGACGCAATGGGAGCTTTAAACTTACGCTGTAAACCGTAGATCGGTGGTTCTTATTAACCTGGGGTGGGAGACATGGCCAGATGTTTTTTTTAGAAGGTAATTCATCGAAACACAAAGTAAGCACGGCCATGGAAGTGCAACTACTTTGTTCCATCAAACCTATGTGTTAACGTACAGTTTTTGTTTACGATTGAGAAACAACAGTCTGCAGTAAAGGCTTAGAATCACTGCCGTAGACTTATCAAACAACGTCCTCGAACTCTCCCAACAGGACTTAGGGAATCATGACCTCAATACCAACACCTGTACTATAAAGGAGACACATCCACACCTGGGGGTCATCCTCTACTCGCAAGGTGGCCAGGATTAGGGATCCTCCACACTCACTAGGGGCCTCCCGCACATAACTTAACCTTTTACACTCACGCACAACACTCGAGCTGATTCTCACTTACAGTGAAGGAAAAAAACTATTTGATCCCCTGCTGATTGTGTACGTTTGCCCACTGACAAATAAATTATCAGTCTATAATTTTAATGGTAGGTTTATTTGAACAGTGAGAGACAGAATAACAACAACAAAATCCAGAAAAACGCATGTCAAAAATGTTATAAATTGATTTGCATTTTAATGAGGGAAATAAGTATTTGACCCCTCTGCAAAACATGACTCAGTACTTGGTGGCAAAACCCTTGTTGGGAATCACAGTGGTCAGACGTTTCTTGTAGTTGGCCACCAGGTTTGCACACATCTCAGGAGGGATTTTGTCCCACTCCTCTTTGCAGATCTTCTCCAAGTCATTAAGGTTTTCTAGGCTGATGTTTGGCAACTCGAACCTTCAGCTCCCTCCACAGATTTTCTATGGGATTAAGGTCTGGAGACTGGCTAGGCCACTCCAGGACCTTAATGTGCTTCTTCTTGAGCCACTCATTTGTTGCCTTGGCCGTGTGTTTTGGGTCATTGTCATGCTGGAATACCCATCCATTACCCATTTTCAATGCCCTGGCTGAGGGAAGAAGGTTCTCACCCAAGATTTGACGGTACATGGCCCCGTCCATCGTCCCTTTGATGCGGTGAAGTTGTCCTGTCCCCTTAGCAGAAAATTACCCCCAAAGCATGTTTCCACCTCCATGTGTGACGGTGGGGATGATGTTCTTGGGGTCATAGGCAGCATTCCTCCTCCTCCAAACACGGCGAGTTGAGTTGATGCCAAAGAGCTCCATTTTGGTCTCATCTTACCACAACACTTTCACCCAGTTGTCCTCTGAATCATTCAGATGTTCATTGGCAAATTTCAGACGGGCATGTATGTGCTTTCTTGAGCAGGGGGACCTTGCGGGCGCTGCAGGATTTCAGTCCTTCACGGCGTAGTGTGTTACCAATTGTTCTCTTGGTGACTATGGTCCCAGCTGCCTGGAGATCATTGAAAAGATCCTCCCGTGTAGTTCTGGGATGATTCCTCACCGTTCTCATGATCATTGCAACTTCACGAGGTGAGATCTTGCATGGAGCCCCAGGCCGAGGGAGATTGACAGTTATTTTGTGTTTCTTCCATTTGTGAATAATCGCACCAACTGTTGTCACCTTCTCACCAAGCTGCTTGGCAATGGTCTTGTAGCCCATTCCAGCCTTGTGTAGGTCTACAATCGTGTCCCTGACATCCTTGGAGAGCTCTTTGGCATTGGCCATGGTGGAGAGTTTGGAATCTGATTGATTGCTTCTGTGGACAGGTGTCTTTTATACAGGTAACAAGCTGAGATTAGGAGCACTCCCTTTAAGAGTGTGCTCCTAATCTCAGCTCGTTACCTGTATAAAAGACACCTGGGAGCCAGAAATCATACTGATTGAGAGGGGGTCAAATACTTATTTCCCTCATTAAAATGCAAATCAATTTCTAACATTTTTGACATGCGTTTTTCTGGATTTTGTTGTTATTCTGTCTCTCACTGTTCAAATAAACCTACCATTAAAATTTTAGACTGATAATTTCTTTGTCAGTGGGCAAACGTACAAAATCAGCAGGAGATCAAATACTTTTTTCCCTCACTGTAGCTTATTCCCTTTAGTTACTTGCCGAACGGCAGGGCTTTGGCGCAAACTCGCTCCTTCCTGCGTCTTTGCTTGAAGTTGTCAGGTATCTTTTTGTTTGTATTTTACTCTCTCATACTTTGCAACCCATAGGGTTTAACCCGTATTATTCTACATGGAAATTGGGTTTTCAGGTCCAAACGGCGTACAGACGTTTCAATACGGGCAAAACAGACAATGTCTTTGTGTTTCTCCCTTGTGATGGGATTTTGTAGGATGATTTCTTCGATTTGTAAGGGCACAGGGTGACCAATAAGGTTTGAATTGGTATGTAATAAGGTAGGGCACTGATAAGGGGTTGACAGGTATGCTTTCTCAACATCCAGAAATTTCTTGTATCATGCTTTCACCACCACTGAGCATGTGCCAAATCCACATCAGCTGGGCGATGGTGGCTAAGCTCGCGTTTAATAACAGCACCGTGGAGTCTCAACGGTTGGTGGATTGCACAAATGTTTGGAAACCCCATGGACTGCACAATAAAAAAAAGTGGAATTCCACTTGTTCCGTTTGTATGGGGATAGAGTGTCTCCCCATCGTATGCGTTGCATTTCTCCAGGTGCTCCGGTTTCCTCCCACATGTAAATATCTATTGGCCGATAAGAGCTTATTATATAGGGGACCGCAGAGCTTGGGAAATTGTTGGCACCGACTATAGCGTGGCTGCTGCCATCCCTGCTTGTCTGTGGTTCATTCTCGTGCCGTCTTGAGTAGTTTTTGGTTCTTTCGGTAAAGTCACGTAGGGTAAAAATTAAAATAAATTTAATCAAATCACGACGTTTCGGAGGCAACACAAGAAGCTTCCGTCCATCAGGTGGCAACAGTCACAGCAAAATCACTGTGGCCACCAGATGACGGAAGCTTGTGTTGCCTCCAAAACGTTGTGATTTGATTAACTTTATTTTTACCTACGTGACTTTACCGAAAGAACCAAAGAGTATGGATCATTGCAGTCACGAAAACTTCAAATCTAGAATTTACGTCTGAGTAGTTCTCTGTAGAGAGAGTGAATGAATACTGTTGCGGAGCGTTGCAAATTTGATCATTTTCTGGATTTGTCAAATCGAACTTCTCACGTGAACCTGCTCCCGAAGAGCTTCATTTCTCTCTTGACCACGGAAATCCATCCAACTGATGTTCTCCAATGCCATACCCACATTGCAACGCATTCCAGTCTCGTGTCTTTCTTTGCCAGGAGTGCACGGGTTTCTTCTGCGGATATCCCTTCACGCAGTGTGCAATGAATGCGCTCCGTTTATAGCTGTTCTGATAATAATTGCATTCGAATTAACGATGTCCAATTCACCTCGATGGCGGTATCAGTTGTGTCTCGGGTAACATGACAACGCGTGAGTGGAAACTTTTAAGAGGAGCCACGGTTGCGATTTGCGCCCATGCAACGCAAGCGATTGACCACATAGTAAACCGCTGTGGTCTCCGCTTCTTCAAAGGAGGAATAAGCAACACTAAATACTCGCCCGAAGCCTTCTCGCGGGTTGCAGACTCTCAGACGATGGCGTTTCATTCCTGAAGGTAGTGGTAGTTTATTTTGATTTACCCTGTGAGCCAAGAAGCTCTTAAGTAAGGTTTCATCAACAACAACAACTACACCGCCGCTTCTCCGACATACGCACAAGTCACAGTCAAAAATAAATCGATAATAACAAAAAAGCGAAAGGAAAAAAAATAGCAAATTATCGCAATGTAAAATTTTCCTATTTTTTTAAAAGACATAAGTTAAATATAGGTTATCAAATAGCATGCTGTATCTGTACAAATTACTAAGTTCACGTATTGGCATTATAGGCAAGACTAGAATAAAATGTGATCCATGCAAGGAATTCATTCCTGTGTATAATGATGAGGAATACTGAACAAGCGGCATGTGTTTAACCACCCTAGGTATGTGGAACTTGTAGCAAGTCTTAAGGTTACGTGTGAATGAATGCGCTAACATGTGTGCTGTTTATGCTGTGGTGTTTGCAGTGTCCTCGTACTGGTCTGCCTTTTGGCGGCCTTTCGTTCACGCACTGGTGAGAGATTACCCGACGTTTCAAAAGCTCTGAGATTTCGCGCATAAAACTCCTACCTCTTTAATGTCCGTGTGCAGAACTGAGGAGCCTCGGCAATTGGCTGGACGGCGGCGGCAGCAGCAGGAGCTTAAGCTGTTGGGGGAGCAGGGCTGCAATCAAGACTACGTGCAGGATTTCTATCAGCACCAGGCACACGAGTACATCCAGCAGCAGCAGCAGCAGAGCGAACAGGAGGTGTACGAGCAGAGCGAGTGCGGCTCTGAGTCCCTCGCCGAGCTGACCGAGTCGGGTGAGAAGTCAGTCCCCTGAACTGGAGGTCAACTTGGAGGAGGGGTAGGGAATCTCAGAAGTAGTGTTCTGCTACATCAACTTGCATGGGCCACTCTAGCAGCAAGGGTCGTCGCTGCTCTCGGCAAAAGTTCCGAGTGGATGCTTCGTCTCATGATGAGATGGCGATAAAACAAGTGGAGATAAAACTGCCGGGGGAAATTACCTTTATTAGTAAAAATAAAAATAAGCAACCATTCAGTTTGTGCTAGAGATGGCTGGGTCAGGAGTGCTGAGCCGACCCTGCTAAGATCCTGGGTTCAGTTCCACCTGTGCTTAAAAAAAACACGGTTCTCAAGTGTAGTGAGTTAATTGTTTCAACCCGGTCAACAACGATTGCACAAAATAAATTCCGTGATATGAAATTTATTGGGCACTTGAAAATCAGGCTCATTTTTCTGCCACCCAGAGGCAGCTATTACCTCTGCCACAGGGAAACCACAAAGCGCCCCGGGCATGAGAAGCGCGACATAAATAATGACGGTTGTTCTTCCGCCCACGTGCGTGCAGTCACGACATTGGACAGCATTTACGATCTGGAGCTGGAGAGCTTGGAAGCGAGCTCTGCTTTCACGGAGTCTCAGGCGGGCCGCGTGGTGGGTTGCGACGTCTACCGCTTCTACAACTTCCAGCACACGTACGACGTGGAGCTGCCCATCGCCAAGCACCGCGAGAAGGTGCGCAGAAGGCAGTCCTCCACTCTTGACGATGTTTTGCTCAATTGAAAACTCATTTACTTTAGAACTGATTTGTGTGTTCCGTTTGTTGCTCCACCCCCCCCCCCCTAAGTACGGTGCGAAATAAGTTCAGCATATGCACATGCATTGATAAATGTATGATACTGTATTCGCCATATTATGACACAATCTCCCCCCCTCCTCCCCTCGGGACTGTGAAGCAGAATTTTTGTTGGACCATCTTGTCATCCGGTGGGCATGCGTGATTGTCACCAGATTTGTTTAACTTTTTCACACTGAGCACACGTTTGGTGTCTGTCTTACTTTTTTGGAGCGTCTCGTAATCTTGGCAATATGGTGATCTAATGCCTCTTTGTTTATCCGTGGAAGGGTCATGTCCTGGGATATGTGGTCAGTTCCACTCATGAGCGTTTAACTTGGTGTGGGAGGAGACTTGGGTACCTAGAGAAAAAATCCGCAGATGTGAAGGAAGCACACTTGGAAGCTTCCCACAAATTTATTCTGGAATATTTCATCTGCTACCCTTGCAGTCCAGTATATGTCCATCATTTGAGACGTACACACGCTGCACCAACACGATCACTGCCATTGCTTTGAGAGTGAGTTGGTTGCACTGCAACGTTGTGGTGACCGTTTAAGCACACCATATTTTCATTTTGTCCCTTTTTCCAATTGTGGAAAACCGATGGCATTATTAAATTACTTGAATGGTGGATCAATGAATTTGTCTTCCCGAGTTTGATTCTCTGCCACGACAAACATCATTGGTTGGCAACATTTGAACCAATTCTGGGCCCCCTCCATCACCAACCCGTGCTGACCTGGTCAGCAAACCCCCATGGCCGAAACGGCGTGGAGCCCTTCAGCCAGCAGTGGAATTGACCGAGGGCTGAACAACATGCAGTCGAAAGGGTTGCATTAATCTAGCGCGTTGCATATTGCCGTCTATTCTAAATACGTTGGGCCTCCACCACCCCCATTCGCCAAAACCAGCACTGACCAGCATGCTATGGTGAAGTATGGTCAAACAATTATGGTCGACTGAGACGGCATGGAATGAGACCTTTGTTGCGATAACTTTTTTTGTTCTTTGTGCTTTAGTTTTGGTACCGTTTCTTAATTTGCTTATTCGTTTTTGATTGTGCTTGGTTGTAGGATTTCCATTTGCTTGGTAGTGGCTGTACATGGGATTTGGTCCTTATATATGCTGTGCTATTTTTATTTTACCAGGTAAGGGCCCATTGAGCTATTTTGATCTTTTCAGATGTGACCTAACCACAAATTATATCTCAACGAAGTGGCTCATCATGTAGAATTTTATAGCAGCCAAATTACTCAAAACGCACGTTTATAAATGTGGAGGGAAGAACCAAAGGACTTGGAGAAAAATTTATGTGACCACGGGGAGAAGATGCAAACTCCAAATATACAGGCATCCAGGTTGGGATCGAATCCACAACCTCCTGCATACAATGGCGGAGCCAGGATTTTCAGGTAGGGGGGGGCAACCCCTCCAGCAATGAAAAATAATAAGAGTTGTTAGTAAGTAAGGACTTGTCCCTTGCTTTTTATTCGACGCGTGTGCGGCGATGGCGCAGCCATCGATTGAGGGTCGAATTCGAACCGCGTTGTGTGATCGGCATCGCGCTCGCTGAAGGTGTTTGCCTTCAGGGAAGTCGTGTACTGTATACGCAACTGCGCACAATTCTGTGCGTCACTTATAACCGCTTTGCCGTTACTTATTGCCAGTTATGGACTCAGACTATTGTCCTATCATCTCATAGAGTCCCTGGCACGTAATAATATGCTACACAGTAGCAGTGGGGGTCGCAAAATGCCGGTTTATTACTAATAAACCCCAATGATCCGATCGAAATTAGGGATTTCGATCGGATCATTGGGGGGGCACGTGCCACCCCACCCCCCTCACTGGCTCCGCCAGTGCCTGCATACCAGGCCGGGAAGTTAACATCTGGCCACCGTTTCGCTGTACGTTATAATTAACGTACAGCGTTATGGGATGCTATTCGCATGAATGGCGCTGTAAAAATGAAATTATTTATTGAACAAGTGGATAGACAGAGGGCTGTTTATTATTATATACCAGACGGTTCCTCTTCTTTGCCGGCGCCAGATCTTGCAGATGATCGAGAGCAACCAGGTGCTGGTGGTGCAGGGCTCGACGGGCAGTGGCAAGACGACACAGATTCCGCAGTACGTGCTGGACCAGCACGCGCAGCTCGGCACGCACTGCAACATCGTGGTGACGCAGCCGCGCAAGCTGGCGGCCCGCAGCATCGCCGCGTGGGTCAGCCGAAGCCGCAACTGGGAGCTCGGAAGCATCGTCGGTTACCAGGTACGTGGCTGTGTGTGCGTGTGCGCACGTACATCGCGCGTGCGTGCGTGTGTGTGTGCATGTGAGGGTGAGCGGTAGCGCAGCGGGAAGCACGCCGCGCTTACGAAATCCGCGACCCGAGTTCGATTCCCGCTCACTGCAAACACCGGCGATGGTTTTCTGAAACGGTCCTGGGCATCCCCTCGGTCGACTCAACATGAAGTGAGTACCTGTTGTGGTGTGTAAACATCGCCACCAGGGAGACTAAGGCGGCCGGGTGTGGTGCTGACCACCCACCCCCCGCTTGTGTGTCGTGCCGGGCTTCATAGGTGCTCGCTAACACCACTTGTCTCAATCTGTGACGGCTATAGGGTGGAAATGGGGCAGTGGGAGCTGAGGCTTGAATCTGTTTCACTTGGCGTGAGTTCACGTGACGCTCACTTGATGTAAATGACTAAATTCCAGCACGAAGCCACCCGTTAGACCTGTGAATGTGCATCGATTCACCAATTCGAATGGATTCCGTTGCAATGCATGCATCGCATCGTGCGCGTGAGGCTATATTAATTTCTTACGTGCATATTTTGTTTTACGTAATGCCTTCACTTGACTCCTTCAGCCACTCGAGGCCGCTACCTTCGTGACACCGTAAGCATTGAATCAGGCCTGCGACGGCATTCACAGCTGGTGAGCGGCATTGTCCCTATTGGCCAAACGCGTGCGTGCCATGCCGTGCCATTGTAAAACACCTCCGGTGTTGCACGTCGGGGCTCACACCCCTTCGGTCTTCTCACTGCCTCAGGTGGGCCTTGACAAAATGGCCACCGACGACACTCGACTCGTCTACATGACGACGGGCATCCTGCTGCGCAAGTTTATCGCCGAAAAATCCATGATGGAGTTCACGCATGTCTTCATCGACGAGGTGCGTGCGTTGGTGGGTCTCCAAGGGCGCGGCAGCCCTTTGTTGAAATTGCATTGTTTCGTTTATATCAGGCTTGGGGAACCTGTTCTTGATGGCCGAGTAGGTACTTCCATTACCCGCGAGTCGGCTGCGACACATTAAGACTCGCACACACGTCGGTCACTTCGGTCTCAGAAAGAGCCGATTTTCTTTTGTTTTAAAAAGTACTTGAAAATGTATCTCTTCGTCGTGTTTTTGGGTTGTGTACCGCGTGTCGTTCGGGACACGATGCCCGACGTTTTCCTTCACATGCAGGGAGCTTCCTTCCAGCATGAGATTTCTGAAACGCCACTTGGCTATTTATATATTTACGGAAAAAGGAGAGTGTTGACGCGATTGTCTACTCTGGATATGTTTTATTGTTCTCTTTGAATGGCAAAACAACGCAGCCGAACGTTTCTCTTATCTCTCTGTTTCGACACAACCAGGTTCATGAAAGGGACCAGGAAACGGATTTCCTCCTCCTGCTTGTGAGAAAACTTCTCCGAACAAATTCGAGAACCGTGAAGGTGTGTACAAGGTGCCTAATCTATCACTGCCGGAGTGCGAGGATGCACAACAGATCCTGTTCTTAAATTTGAACCGTTTAAGAATCACAGCATCGCCAGACCGATATTAGGCAACAGCCTTAATTTAAATGTTCAACTCTCGATTGGTTTTTGTTCTTTTGGGTATCGCCAGCTAAATCATACTTGTAAAAATAAAGTCCATGTGCAGTGGCGAATTGAGAAGTGCTTATTCTGACCCACAGCGCTCCAAAAAGACACATAATTAGTTGTTATACAACAGGTAATAAGTTGCCGTTCCACATTTCCATCAAAGGCGCACTGTGCAAGGAGTGGGCCGAGAGCTGTGTGCGTTAGCGCACCAAATACTTGGCTGCAGCTTGAGGGTGCCGTCGGTGAAAAAAATAATAACACTGCTAAGCGGCGAATTGTTTTGTTGGATGTATTTCCAAAAAAAAAAAGTAAGCTGACTAGTGCAGGGTCCGTCGCGATAAGGGATGATGTCTGACTGTGAAACATAGCGAGGGGCGTGGCAGCCAAGCGGTGGAACCCGCATCTTGAGAGCGGACGTCCGCCTAAACGAGGGGGTTAAACGATAACATCAAGACGTGTCGAGGTGTTGTGGCATCGCAGGATGGTTGGAGGTGGCGGTGGGTCCTGGGGGAGGTCTTCATCCAGCAGTGGATTGACCATGGCTGATGATGATGTTGGAGTTTGTTAATTTACACAAAGGTAGTGATACTTACTCAGGCAGTCCATTGGGAGTTCCAGGTAAATGTTTCCTCATCCGCTTTGTTGATTTGGACTCTAGTTAAAAACCAGTCCAATTTTGCCACGATTAAGAAATTGTTGCTGAACATTATTGGAAAACTACTGGGCTGATGAATTCAATGTTTGTGCCTATCAGCGATTAAACAAAGCCCCTGATCTTTTTTCCCCATTATTTTATCACAGCCCAGGATTAGCAGCCCTATTTAACACTTAAACACCGATGAAGCAACGTGCGATGTTCACACCTCAGTGTTCATCATTTTTGTTTTTTTACTTTTTGTTTATATTCCAAGCCAACCGGTGTTACAGTCCAAGGGAGTTAGAGGGATTATATTACTGATTGTGTTCGCCTGACTAGGGTGGGGTGCCCCATGTGCAGTGCTAGGTACCTGACTAGGGTGGGGTGCCCCCTGTGCAGTGCTAGGGGGACTCCACGCGTCTTAAGGGCACTTGGCTCTCTTCCCGCTGGCCTGGCGCTAGTGCGCCGCTGAAGAAGATGATTGCACAGTTAATGTAAATCATAAATATTTATTTTTTTTACCCGCGCGTGATTCGACGTCTCGTGTAAAGCGTAAGAATCAATTTGAAGTTACGACTTTCCGACTCGTCCCCATCCCGCCGGCCGCCCCCCCCACCCCCGCCCGCCACTGCCCCCCTCACCACCGCAGGTGATCCTCATGTCAGCCACCATCGACTGCCAGGAGTTTGCGTCATACTTCTCCATGCCGCTGATGGATCGGATGCAGCCGGCGCCCATCATCTTTGTGCCAGACCAAGTCCACGAGGTGCAGGTCCACTACCTGGAGGACATGCCCATCTCTCTCAGCGAGGTCAGGGCACCAACCGTTCCCGGCCACTTGCCCCTGCATGTGCTTCCATAGTTGGCTCCATCGTTGGCTCCATTGCTGGCTCCATTGGCCGCCTTCCTCCCTGGCCTATTTCCCCTCCTTCCCTCTTCTCCACACGGTACAAGCGGGCCAATGCCACACCGCTAGAGAGTGTAAGATTTTGTTGGTGGTGGTTTTCCTCGTTGCTTAACTGGTACACGGCTCCCCCAGTGTGTTTCTGGGTTGCATTGCGGATTGTTGGGCAAGGTGTCCGACTTCCTAGGCTGGGCTGCCCAGGTGAGAGGGGATGGGCATGGGCTGTGTCTTCCCAGCCTCTATTAATCATGATGAAGTTGGTCGTAAGCTCCAGAAAAAAACTTTCTCAAGTTGTAAATGTTGAGGGTTTGCTCTAAGACACCGGTGGTGCAAAGGTGGTAACAAATTGACATGTTTTATTCACCTGACAAACCTTGATCATTGGCTGTGTCGGATTCAATTGGGTTTACGACACGTTAACACTTAGGCATGTATGTTGAACTTCTTTCGCACCATACGTAGCCAACCATGTTAATTGGAGGTGCGGGAGGGGGGAAGGACAACAAACTAAACACAAAAAAATAGTTTTTGTGAAATAACGTTTTTTTAATTTAGAAGAAATTAGTTTTTAATTGTATCACGAATAATATCGGCCGCTTCGTGTTAAATTAGCCTGTTAATGATTGGCAAAGTCACTGGTCTTTGAGTATCATTGCTCGATATTTTGAAACTATTACAAATAAAGCTGGCAGATGCAGTTCATTCAAGTTACCAATTACTCGGTGACTTGAACAGCAGCAAGCACGTTGCTCTGTGCATCGTGGAATGTCACACAACATTGAAATGAAAGTATAAATTAAATATTATGGACAGGAAAATTGCGCCGTTTAAAATTGCTTCAAATTGAGACGAGGATTTTAAAAGCTTTCGCTAAATGCTTTAACAAGCATTAATTAGAGCTGCATTTTGTGTGCTACAGGAGAGGATTGTAATGGGGAAGTATGGTCGGCAGGAGGTTCCTATTTTAGCAACAACAAATGATTTGATTGCAGGTTGGGGAAAATAATGGGCAAATATTGACTTTTCACAAGTGCATATGCTGCATTAAAATCATTTCCCCATGGAAAGCACTCTTGTATGTGTGTTTGTCGAACTTCTTTCGCAGCATACGTAGCCAACCATGCTAATCGAAGGTGCCACAGCATAACGTGAAATGTCCCAATATGAAAATGCATTTTACCACCTGTATAAATGTGTGTGTGTTTATGAATACTATGTGGGGAGCGGTAGTGTAGCGGTTAGCGCACTGCGCTACGAACCCGGCGACCTGAATTCGATTTCTGCTCATGGTCAACACCAGTGACAATTATCTGATCAGGTCCTGGGCCTGTTCAGATAAGTACCTAGTGCGATGTGTAAAATCATTGCCACTAGAGAGACAAAGGCGGCCGGGCCTGGTGCTGGCCACCCAACCCTTTGTGTGCCGTGCCGGCCTTCATAGGTGCTCGCGAACAGCACTTGCCCCAACAGTCTGTTAAGGCTATACATTGGATCTTTGTTTTTTAATAATATTTAATATGAATCTGTTTTAATTAGTGAATCGATGCATAGTTACTTACCACAATGACAAATGTCCCCCATATAGCCTTAACAGACTATTGCGTTCAAGTGCTTCTTGTGGAAGTCTCTTATGACCGGCATAACACACAAAGGGTGGTGTAGCTAACACCACACCCGGCCGCCTTTGTCTCCCCAGTGCTGATGTTTACACGCCACACCAGCTACTTGTATTAAAGTCGGGTCGACCTATTGGCGGCCCAGAACCGTTTCAAATATTCTTCTAATATTATGAAGCCACTGGAGCTATGCACTTTTACATCTGCATTGAAAACTAATTTCTTTCGAACTGCTTTTTTTGTTAAGTTTGTTGTCCTTACCCTGCCGCACCTCCGATTAGCATGGTTAGCTACGTACGGCACGAAAGAAGTTCAACATACATACTAGCCGTGAGCGGAAATCGAAATTGGGTGCGAGAACTACTACGCTACCGCTCCCCGCACGCCCACTGCATTCGAGTGCATAGCTGTCCCAGCAAAAGCCACAGCATGGCTCGGCCAGGGTTAAAACTCGCTGCAGGCAGAGTGAGTGACAGCTTGCGCACGGGGGTCGACCTTGACTTTGTGTTTTTCGGTGGCAGCAGTCCAATCGGGAGTTGTTGCTCCGCCGCCAGTCCCCGAGACCTCTCCGAGATGCCCGGGCTAAACGCTCCAACCTTTGCGTGCGAGCCGTCGGCCTTACAAGCCGCTTTACTGGTCCCGCCACGTCCCTTGCACAGTAACGACCGCCGCAAAGGTCGACCCGATAGACGGGGCCGGGGGGGGGGGGGGGGGGGGACCACCCCAGGTGGTTTACCAGGCACCAAGCTCTCACACGCCAGCTCTGATGCGCTTCATATTTTGGGCCGCACGCTGCGCCAATGCGTTTGACTTTAAACGCCCGCGCAGTGCCCGTGCAGCTCTCCGCCGCGTTTACCCGCTGCACCTGGTTGTCCGGCGTGCCGGGAGATTCTCCAGCAACTGAATCGTGTTCGTGCCCCGTGTTCGTGCTTTTGCTCGCGTCGCCTGTCGTTGCGTTCGCGCCAGGTGTCCGTTGCCGCGTACGTTAACCTCGCGTGTTCGTATCGCGTGTTCGTGTTGCAGGCGGTCATCTTCGACCTGTGCATCCCGAGCATCGCTCGTGAGAGCTACGCCATCACAGAGAAGCTCATCAGGAGCTTTTATGACATGGAGGCATACAAGCAGTACGTGGTGCGACGGAGATGGATCGGTGTTTTGAACGTTGGGAGTTACACTCCTAGCTTCGTAATACATCCTCCCATCCTTACCTCCCCCCCCACCTCCGCTCTTTTCCTCCCTGCTCCCCCACCATCTTTCCCCACATATCGCATGACAGGTGCATTGTTAACCCTTTCCCGTTCCGATGGCGTACGTGTACGTCATAGTTTTTCTTCCAATTTCATTCTGATGCTGTATACATGTGTTCCAGTGACGTATATGTACGTCATCAGAACGGAATCGGAATTAAAAAAAAAATAACTTTATCGGTACCGAGACTCCCATAAAAGCCATGCGGGAGGGCGTGTGGCACAGTTTGGCGCCAGCTATCGTACACTGCGGTCGTGTCGCTACAGTTCTCTGTCCTTGGTAGAGGGCCCGGCGTCTCTTCTCCCAATTCTCTTGGCAGTTGATAAGCATCCTACCATACCGTTCACAAATTATCCTCGATAACGCAAGTCAAGTCATTGCCCGCGATTAAACATTAATTCCTGCAAAAGTCACGGGTTTCCTGGAAGTGTTTTAAAAATGCTCTTTTGACAACGGAATGCAAGTGACGCAGCCTCAATTCTCTTTTCGTGACCTTAAAAACATTTTGCAACAAATTGGTTGAATTGTATTTCTACTTGTAAGCGCGCGTGGGGAGACCGCCGTGTCTGCTTGTTGCGAGCCGTTATCGTTGTGTTGCAGCCTGCAGACTGGCGTTCAGGAGCTTGGCAGCGTGCTCGTGTTCTTGCCAGGTACGCTCTTGGCCGCTCGTGTTATCTCGCACCAAACACACACACGCGCCTCGTGGCGGGAACCTCTGGCCGCTCTGGGGTGGGTGGGGGGGGGGCCCTCGTGCGTTCCTCTACTCCGTCAGTGTTCGAGTCTGCTTAGCGGGTCGCGATGACGACGCGCCCGTCCGTGTGTCGGCCTGGACGTTCTCAAGAGGAGGAGCGGGAGGGGGTGGGCCCTGCGTTGGCCCCTGTGAAATTAAATACATTTCAGGCTGAACAACTAATTCTAAATCGTTATGCAAATTAATGTCACGCACCTGGGGGGGGGGGGGTGGGGGTGGTCAGACAATTGTGACGATGTGTGACGAGGGGGGGGGGGGGTTTGAGAAATGTGACGTCACATCAAAATGCGCAACTTTAAATAAATATAGACAACACGTTCTACTTAATTAAATAGACTTTTTAATCAATGTTTTCTCCTACAACATCCGAGTGCAGCGCCACATTAAATACGCACTACAATGACAGTCGTTTAAAGCGATTTGGGGCAGAGCTTTGTGACGTCATATTGGAGGGGGGGGGGGTGTCTGACTTTTTGTTACGATGGGGGGGCGGGGGTCAAAAATCGCGTGATGTCATTTATGGACGGCCCCTTAGTTGCCTCGGTAATAAGTTCACGGAGGGTAGACCCGACGAAGCTGTGGCGGCCGTAGTATCGGAAACGGAGTAGTATTTGGAGCAGAGAACCGGGACACACCCCCCCCAGGTGGTTGTTGTGGATGAAAATAAAATATTCCACGTATCTTTTTGCCCAGTACCCATCGGCCTTTGGGTCACAGGGCAGGGAGCGGGTGTCGCCCGGCAGTGCTTGAGGAATGCGCGCCGTTCACTGACGCAGTTGTGACATTGCAATTCCGGGAGAGGGGATCTATCTATTACGACCGTGCAATTCGGCGTAGCCAGGGTCTTCCCAAATGTCCATTATTAAATAATGATACGTAGAGGGCAGCAGTGCGAGTGAGGTCGCTTAAAACTAAACGGCAAACGTTTGGTTGCTTGAAGATTTTGTCGAATAAGTGTGTCGTCGTCCCTCGGAAGTCGTGCCTCGCCCGTTGCATTTGGCGCGGCGCTCGTCACGTTGAGGTTTGAGAGATTCCCAGGAATTCGGCAACATCTCGTATTTTGGTGATACGGAGCTAGCAACACCTTTCAAACGAGATGGTCAAAACTAGACAACAATAAAGAATAGATCGCTATGCAACACAATTGTTGTTCCTGGGTAGTAAGTGTTATTTCGTAATTGCTTGTGCCTAAAAAGTATAGAAAATGTCTATTATTCCCCACAAACATTTTGTTTTTGTGACCAGGACAGTGATATTTTGAAATTTACCTATTTTCAATGAGAAAACGGGCGATTTTGTGTATTTTCGTTCACATGAAGCCAGAATTTTTTTTTTATGTGTGTTTATACTAAAGTAATACAAAAATGACTCCAAGAGATTTAGAAGTGAGTAGTTTTTCGAGATTTACGATTATACTGTAAATCACTTTCACGAATCAGCCCCCAAATGTAGTCTCCCATCATGTTCTCGTTATACTGTCCTTGGTAGCGGTGTTCAAAGTCCAGTATATCCTGGTGGAAGCGCTCGCCTTGCTCCTCCGAGTACGCTCCCATGTTTTCCTTGAATTTATCAAGATGAGCATCAAGGATATACAGTGAGGGAAAAAAGTATTTGAACCCCTGCTGATTTTGTACGTTTGCCCATTGACAAAGAAATGATCAGTCTATAATTTTAATGGTAGGTTTATTTGAACAGTGAGAGACAGAATAACAACAACAAAATCCAGAAAAACGCATGTCAAAAATGTTATAAATTGATTTGCATTTTAATGAGGGAAATAAGTATTTGACCCCTCTGCAAAACATGACTTAGTACTTGGTGGCAAAACCTTTGTTGGCAATCGCAGAGGTCAGACGTTTCTTGTAGTTGGCCACCAGGTTTGCACACATCTCAGGAGGGATTTTGTCCCACTCTGCAGATCTTCTCCAAGTCATTAAGGTTTCGAGGCTGATGTTTGGCAACTCGAATCTTCAGCTCCCTCCACAGATTTCCTATGGTATTAAGGTCTGGAGACTGGCTAGGCCACTCCAGGACCTTAACGTGCTTCTTGAGCCACTCCTTTGCTGCCTTGGGCCGTGTGTTTTGGGTCATTGTCATGCTGGAATACCCATCCACGACCCATTTTCTATGCCCTGGCTGAGGGAAGGAGGTTCTCACCCAAGATTTGACGGTACATGGCCCCGTCCATCGTCCCTTTGATGCGGTGAAGTTGTCCTGTCCCCTTAGCAGAAAAACACTCCCAAAGCATAATGTTTCCACCTCCATGTTTTACGGTGGGAATGGTGTTCTTGGGGTCATAGGCAGCATTCCTCCTCCTCCAAACACGGCGATTTGAGTTGATACCAAAGAGCTCCATTTTGGTCTCATCTGACCACAACACTTTCACCCAGTTGTCCTCTGAATCATTCAGATGTTCATTGGTAAACTTCAGACGGGCATGTATATGTGCTTTCTTGAGCAGGGGGACCTTGCGGGCGCTGCAGGATTTCAGTCCTTCACGGCGTAGTGTGTTACCAATTGTTTTCTTGGTGACTATGGTCCCAGCTGCCTTGAGATCATTGACAAGATCCTCCCGTGTAGTTCTGGCCTGATTCCTCACCGTTCTCATGATCATTGCAACTCCATGAGGTGAGATCTTGCATGTAGCCCCAGGCCGAGGGAGATTGTCAGTTCTTTTGTGTTTCTTCCATTTGCGAATAATCGCACCAACTGTTGTCACCTTCTCACCAAGCTGCTTGGCAATGGTCTTGTAGCCCATTCCAGCCTTGTGTAGGTCTACAATCTTGTCCCTGACATCCTTGGAGAGCTCTTTGGTCTTGGCCATGGTGGAGAGTTTGGAATCTGATTGATTGATTGCTTCTGTGGACAGGTGTCTTTTATACTCCCTTTAAGAGTGTGCTCCTAATCTCAGCTCGTTACCTGTATAAAAGACACCTGGGAGCCAGAAATCTTTCTGAATGAGAGCGTGTCAAATACTAATTTCCCTCATTAAAATGCAAATCAATTTATAACATTTTTGACATGCGTTTTTCTGGATTTTGTTGTTATTCTATCTCTCACTGTTAAAATAAACCTACCATTCAAATTATAGACTGATCATTTCTTTGTCAGTGGGCAAACGTACAAAATCAGCAGGGGATCAAATACTTTTTTCCCTCACTGTAGACTTTGAGGGACATCCTACAGCCCACTGTGCCATGGTTCTTCACCAGCCTCAACCAGCTCCACGTAGTTTTCGACCTTGTGCTTGTCCAGGAAGCCACGGACAACTGCGACAAAGCTGTTCCAAGCCGCTTTCTCCTTACTAGTGAGCTTCTTGTGGAATTCATTGCCCTCCAGGATCTTCTTTATCTGTGGTCCGTCCTATGAAGACACTGGCTTTGACCTTTGCCTCAGACAGCTCAGGGAAGAAGTTTTGAAGGTACTTGAAGGCTACCGACTCCTTATCTACAGCTCTGACAAATTGTTTCATAAGGCCCAATTTGATGTGCAGTGGTGGCATCAGCACCTTCCGGGGGTCCACCAGTGGCTCCCACTTGACGTTGTTCCTCCCCACAGAGAACTCGGTTCGCTGTGGCCAGTCCCGCCTGTGGTAATGCGCCTTGGTGTCCCTGCTGTCCCAAAGGCAAAGATAGCAGGGAAACTTGGTAAAACCGCCTTGGAGACCCATCAGGAATGCCACCATTTTGAAGTCTCCGATGACCTCCCAGCCGTACTCATCATACGTCAAGGTGTCCAGCAAGATCTTGATGCTGTTGTCATCCTCTTTGAGGTGCACCGAGTGAGCCAGGGGAAGAGACGGGTACTTGTTACCATTATGGAGCAGCATGGCTTTAAGGCTCCTGGATGAGCTGTCCATGAAGAGGCGCCACTCATTCCAGTTACAGGCGATTCCGATTGCCTCGAACAGACTGGTCACATTGTGGCAGAAGCAGAGCCCATCTTGACGGGTGACGAAGCTGCAAAAGGTTGGTGACGCTTCCTCGGATCTGCGATTTGCACACTTTCATCCAACAAGTTCCAGTGTTTGAGCCTAGACGTCAAAAGCTCGGCATTGGACTTGGTGAGACCAAGATCTCTGATCAAGTTGTTGAGGTCTTTTTGGTTGGAGTAGTATGGGTTTCTCTCTTCAGCTCCACCTCTGAATTTGTCATCTGGATCTTCAACGTCTTCCTCGCTCTCTGACTTGCTGCTCTCTTCTAAAAACAGCTGTTCTCTCTCTGGAGGAGTGGGTACGGGGAGCGCATGGCAGTGTGGCACCGGGGCGATGGATGAAGGAAGTTCTGGATACGTGATAGGTGCATTCTTGCCAGTCTGACGTTTGGAAGGGTCCACCATGCAGAAGTAGCAGTTGCTTTGAGTGGTTAGTGGGTTCCTGCCAAATTCTTGGGATAACAAACTTCATGGCTCTCTTTTCCCCTCTGTACCATCCTACAAAATTACATTTTTTCACCCATGCTTATGTGCAAGAGATTCTCGCAACATTTTTCATATATGAAATATTTTTTCAATAACATTGAAAATTGTAAAAAAAAAAGTATTAATTCTAACAAATTTTATAACATAAAATTCTGAGCAACAATTGTCCATCTTACCTTCCAGAGTTTTATTTTGCATTGCACGCAGGTGAAATGAGGTGCCCAGGGTTTGTCTTGATCCCCGACAGGCATGCCGAAATATGCCTTGTAGGCCTCACACATCTTAGCAGAATCTTCCACAGAGTACTTTTTCGCTCTTGTCTTGATAAATTGGCCACAGACATAGCAAAATGCGTCTGCCGGATGCTTGCAGCCTCTTGATGCCATCTCAGAAAAATACAGATATGTATCCACTTAGGCAACTAAGGCCCCTGTATTTCTACTACTATTTTTGTTACTGCAAAGTTCTAGAATTTTTAGAAGATACTCCAAGTTTACTCAGCACTGAATCTATCTGGAATGTTCTGGAAAATAGGTAAATTTCAAAATATCACTGTCCTGGTCACAAAAGCAAAGTTTGTGGGGAATAAAGCCATTTTCTGTACTTTTGAGGCATAAGCATTTAGGAAATAACACTACCCAGGAACTAAAAAAATGTGTTGCACAGTGTATCGAATCGTGACCGTTTGAACTGTCGTGAACCGTCGCGTGTCTTCTGCCCGAGCATGCGACCGTCGTGCAGTCATTGTGGGGGTGGTGGCGTGGGACATCTGCAGGTTACGGAGAAATCACCGAGATGATGGAGTGGCTGAGCGTCAACATGACCAGGTGGGTGGAGCGCTCGTGTTTCGCAGCGCCAAGCCTCCAGGCACTTTCCCTTGCAAATACTAACCAGGCTCCAACCCCTTGCTTTAGCTTCCAAGATATGGTGAGATCGTGGACATTCGGGCTGATATGATAGTCGTGGGGAGTTTCCGTGTGCCAGTGTGGATGTGTTATCTCAGAACCGTGCAAGCAAATCCATACCCCAGTATTCCCAGATGAGTGTCCCATCCTGGTATTCGCCAGACTCAACCCTCCCTAATTTCCCACACCTCGGAAAGCACGGTTGGCTACGTACGGTTCAATATACACCCATTAACGCGCTTCTGCCTGGATTCGAACTTGGCATCTCCGCGATGTAGGTTGTTTTTGTTGGTACTGCAACAATAACAACCTACATTTATTAAAATGTGCCCGTAATGTAACAAACGCCTCGAAGCCCAGATATACAAGGGAGGGAGTGGGAGGGGGTGGGAGCGAATGGAAGGGAGTGGGAGAGAGTGTGATGGAGTGGAAGGGGAGGGAATGGAAGGGAATGGGAGGGAGTGAGAGGGAGTGGGAGGGAGTGGAAGGGGAGGGAGTGGGAGGGAGCGGGAGGGAGTGGGAGTACGAGACCCCTGAGCCCACCGACCGCCGCACGTTTGGGTTTGAATCCCCCACCGCGCTGCCACGGCAGCGTTGGGGGGTTGGGTGCCAGGACGTGCGTGTGAACACGGCGGGTGTTGACCTCTCCGATTGTCTCCGCAGCCTGAAGCTGCTGCCGCTACACTCATCACTCACTCCGCAAGAACAGAAAATGGTCTTTGACCCGGTGCAGCGTGGATTGCGCAAGGCAAGCCGTACACTCTGGGCCCACTGGCTTGCTCTTGTCAAAAAAACTCGTCTTCATTCATTCCGGATAATTCGAGTATTCTTGTTTTTGTCTACGAGTGATCAGCTTGGGTAATGGTTGGAGGTGGGTCCCAGGCCCGGGTTACGAAGAGGTAGGGAAGCCAGACGGGAGGTGGTGGTCCGTGGGTGGGGTCGGGCATTTCATTCATTGCACCAGGGGCCCTATGGCAATTGCGCTACGGCCGCTGGCTCAACCGCGGGAGTGATTCGAAAATAATCATGGGTGACAACCCCTTCGTGTTAACGATCGCTTTGGGTAATAAGATCGTAAATAATCGGATGAGCCAAGTAAATTATTCGCAAAGTAAAACATAAAAAAATATCCTGCGCTTGAAAAGTTACTGACGAAATTACTGTTTCTGCTTGTCGTGTTTTGTTGAATTGACCCACTAGGTCATCCTTTCAACCAACATTGCTGAAAGTTCGATAACTGTACCTGACATAAAATACGGTAAGTGTTCTGGGGTGTATCGGTCTCAGTGGTTTTCCCACTGCGCTATCATTGATCTCTGGAACTGAACAAAACTAAGATAAAACTATAAACTTTTTTATTTTACCAGTTAAGGTCCACTGAGCTATGTAGCTCTCTTTCAGAAGCGACCTCGCCACAAATGATAGCTCAACGAAGTGGCTTATGTGGAAATTTATAGCAGTCAAATACTCTAAAACACATGTTTCTACATGTGGAGGGAAAACCCGGAGGCCCTGGGGAAAATCCACACGACCGCAGGGAGAAACGCAAACTCCAAATATACAGCAGGTGTCGCGGTCGGGATCAAACCCACGACCTCCTGCATACCAGGCGAGGTAGTTAAAATCTCGTCACTGTGACGCCATCTCGCTTGGTTCAACTTGAATACACGTGGGAGACTGATACAGCACAACCACGACAATATACCTCGCAGTTATGATATTAGTGGTAACGCATCACTGTCTGGTGCGTCGTTTCGCTACACGCAGTTCAGCTGTTAGTCCATGTCCAGAGACAAAGGCGCTTCATTTGTTGAGCCCACCTGAGGTTGATAAACTCTAGTGGCACCAATCTCTTTCCACTGCCAATGAAAGTAAATTATGTGATAACCTTTACAAATGAGTGGGTTGTCCCATAAGTCACGTTAATTGGCCATGTAAATAAATTGGTGCAATTAACATTTAGCCACCCAGAGGTGGGCGGGTAGCTAAGCGATTAAAGCATTAAGCCGGCCCCACTGTGATTCTGCGTTCAAATCCAGGTTTCAGCTAACCATGATTAAACTGGGTTCTCGAGTGTGGCGAGTTGATGGTCTTGGCCTGGTTACCAATTACTACAAAAAAACACCACCATATATTTTAATTGAACATATGGCAAAACGCCCTTTGCGGAGCATTAAAGAGTGCCCCCCCCTAGTGTGGATAAGCATTTCTCTCGAAGTGACCTCACAAGTGGTTACGTTACGTCACATTGCTGGACCGTCCTCCGACACGCTATGTACGGAGTATGTATGTTGCTTCCGCACCGTACGTAGCCATTCCGTGCCCATCGAGGGTGCGGGGGAAGGGCAGCAAACTTAAGCACAAAGCAGTCGTAAAGAACTGAAATACGCCGCTGTGATACACCACTGTCCACAGAGTTCCGAGTGGAAGTTTTTTCATCTCCGTGGCATGTCCGCCAACAGTACAGTTGAAATATCATTTGAGGGACGAGCAAAGGAATGAAACAATAAAATTGGCCTCCCCGTAGAGTGTGCCAATTTGTGTCGTGGGTCATGGACCGACCGTGTGTCGTCAAGAGCTCGGTTCACAGCTGTTGCCACCGATGCCCCCCCACCCCCCCCCCCCCCCCCCCCCCCCGTGCCGCCGCGCGTGTTGCAACAGTGATCGATTACTGCCTGGCCCGAGAGATGGTGTGCGAGACCGGCACCAACTACCAGAGCTTGCGTCTCATGTGGGCTTCCAAGGTCAACTGTGACCAGCGGAAAGGTACCCCCGCTGCGTGGCGGTAACGACGCGGGGGGGTGGGGGTGGGGGGGAGGGCACTACCTTGTTGAATGTTGAAGCTGAACTTGGTAATGAAGAGCAACTTACCGGTGTGTGACTGAAAGTTTTGTTTGTAACCGTTGCATATTACCTGTTATGTGGATTAGTGAACAGGGTCACGGAGAGATGGCAGGGGGAATCCATGGATTTGAGAATGTACAAATTTGGACGTTTTGTGTCAACTGATAAGAAAAATAAGTGGGCTTAGGAAGAAGGCGTTGCTGGAAAGGGGGGACAATGGTCGTTGCTCGAGATTCGTGGCGGAGTGGCAGCCAAAGGCGCGAACGCGTCCCCAACAGGCCTACCACCAGGGAAAGGAAGTGTGGAAATGAGTTCGCGCACGGGTGACGGATAGATCGTTGCATCGGAGAACCGAGAGTAGGTGAGGCTGGCTCGGGGTGGGGGGGAGGCAAGCTACCATCCAGCAATGGTTTGACCATGGCTGATAAAGATGATGATGATGACAACGACCCGCCAGAGAACACCGTTCCTCCCATAATCCCCATCCACTGCTATTATCGCGTACACGTTCTAGTTTTTTGTCGCCGATGCGCGACACCTCTTTGCCCGTGCACTCGGTCAGTTGAACCCGTTTTGGCGTCTAAGCCAAGGTCGTTCGTTTTGACCGGAGAAAGGTCCACGCTTTCTTTTGAATGGCCTCTTGCAGGGTATCAACCAGTTACTTTTGGACAGCAGCCGGCTTTGGGTCTCAAAAGTCTGGTGCTGTGGCTTGTTTAAAATATTTTATAGATTTTTGCATTAAATTTGTTGTCACGGGGAATAGATTAACTTTCACCACTGAGCATCGTAAACTCACGGCTCTCCTTGTAGCCTTTGGGCAAGGGATCTCATGAGTGATGATGCCAAAATTCGGGGATGGCTGTGCAATTTGTAAGCAAAAAGGGGTGCATTAAAAGCCTCCATTTTCTGGAAGTGCCCAGGTGAATGAAAGGTCACAGTACTTAAGTCACCATTCCTGAGATCCTGCGTTCTAGTTTGATTTCAGCTGAACCGGGTTCTGAGTCTTAAATCATTCCTGAATATACTGCCGAAAACAAAATCATTAAATTTAGCTTTGCACCTAATTTTACAGAATTCCAGCTGTGACTGCCATTACAATGAACATTCCTCTGTCGCAGGGCATGTAAGCAGAGCGTGGCCATAATGCGTGGATTAAAGATAGCTTGTTTGAAGGGATTTCACAAGTAGTTCTACGAAATCTCCTTCCATGGGCCGTTCTCAAACACACGAGGCGTTACGCTGCTCTTGGAGAATTTGAAATGGGTATTCGGTCTGGTGGCGTGACGTCGACTGATCGCACAATTGGAATGAAGTATGGAAAACCTTTTTTTTCATAATGGTTTTTGTGTTAGATCGCGTAAGTATAAATGTGTCGTAACCCTCCACCACCCGACACAGCCAGTAAGGGTTGTCGCGTAAATAATGCGCCAATTTACTACGTCAGCATCATCGAGCAATTTACCAGACGGATTGCTTCAGGTGGATTGCTTAAATATTCTGTAAAATCGCCCGCTGATGTAATTACTAGCGAAACGTCGTCACCAAATTGTAAATGTTGTGGATTTACTCTCCAACACACCGGTGGGCTGAAGTAGTCACTTATTGGCACATTCTTTACGTGACAGTTCTCTCTGTGCTGTGTCGGGTGGTGGAGTGTTACGGCACATACTTTCGCGATCTAACCCAAAAACCTTGATCGTGAATAAGATTGGTCGCGAAGGCCTACGCGTTAAACTCTTTTTGTTGTTAACGCCAGCGTGTTCTGCAATCTCTCCACCCGCTGCGCACACCGGCAGGGCGTGCCGGTCGCACCTCAAGCGGACACTGCTACAGAATCGTGACCAAGGATTTCTGGAAGAATAGCATTCCCGATTACTCCATCCCAGAAATGCTGGTACGGCTCGCACGTCGCATGCCGTTGACCTCGCTCGGCTCAATTGCTCTCTCCGGCTCGGTCAAGCCGTCCGGTGTTTGCACACGATGCCGCGACGGTGTCTTGCTGCACTCCCCTCACATCTTTCCTGCTCGCTAACGGTTGTCACGTTGGGCCCGCGCTGCGGTTGAGGGCGATGGCTTGCATTATTTATCCCGGCGCGCAGCGTATGCAGACGCTCGTCACAAAGGCAAACGTATTCCGAATTGACTCGGATGGTAATTTGGTGTCCCGAAGAGAGAAGTACCATGGCCTATGTTTCCAATGATAGTCCTGTGGTGTTTTTTTCTTAAATGATAAGTACATTTACCCCTGGGTGCATTATAAAACCTAAAAACTGGAAGTGTGAAGAGAGCAGTGCTCATATTACAAAAATGTAAATTTCTTCTTTCAAGTTACGGTTGATGGGCGTACCCCCCTCTCCCCCAAAGGCGCGAAACTCCCAAGTGACCAGCGAAGGACAGTGCGGGCGCTATTTTTAATGGATGATAGATAAAGAATGGATACGTTTCTCGAATTGAGCAAGATTGCAAGAACTTGGGGGAAAAAGAGACGACGGGGAGGTAATTCCCAAGCGGAGCTGTGTGCGGGGAAAAAACAATCGGAAAGAGGTGTTGTTACCTGTGTGTGTTGAACTTCTTTCGCGCCGTACGTAGCCAACCGTGCTAATGGGAGTGCGGCGGTTGACCGCAGCCTGATAGGCCTGCGCTCTCAACAAGGGGAGTGGAATCCATGAGCGAAGTTCACGTGAACAGTAGCCACGGTCGAGCGGCAGTACTTGCTGGTGGTGGTGAATGTCGATTAACAGATTGTTCTGCATGGTTCTCCACAGGGTCCTCCAGTCTCCTCCCATAGCTCAAGAAAACCCACGCAATGTAACTCGCGTTGGCCCAAACATCCTAATGCTGCAAAATTAGCTGCAATTTACACAGTTTGGATTGCACACAGCAGCAGCATCGCCTCCTACTGCTCAAACTTAGCAGGAGCCTCCTGAAAATGAGTCTTAAGGCTCAAGCTTTCCTGGGTAAACAGTCTCCAGGACAATTATTTGTCAGACTTTGGACGCTTGCTCTTCCATGAAACAAGATTTCGCTTGATGGGTTAAAGGAAAATCTTCATCTCGGGGACGGTGAAATTCTTTGCCTAAGGCTATCGGAGACTCGGATACCGTTGGTATTTTAAAATCTCATCTTAACAAAAAAAAATTAACTGGCCCTTTTCAATGGTTGATTTTTATTATTCAGGAGTCATTCATTTTGTTGTTTGTAAATGTATTCTGTTTTTGATTGTACAGCGCTCTGGGGTATTTGTTTTTTTTCGTGAAAAGTGAGAAACTAAACAAAATATGATTGTTGTTATTATTATTCTTGACAATGGGAGAGTGATAATAATGTGACTGACTGGAGATGAGCGTGTGCCCGGAGTACATCGGTGGTGAGTGCTGGCGTATCGGTAAATCTGAATAGTTGACATGTCCCGTATTCTCCTTGGATATAAGAGGCACTTTTATTCCCTCTATTTGAAAGCAAATATTGGGATTATTACATTCTGTTAGGTGTGTGCGTCTGTGTGTATGTGGGGAGCGGTAGTGTAGCGGTTAGCGCGCTGCGCTATGAACCTGGCGACCCGAGTTCGATTCCCGCTGACGGTCAACACCCAGTGACGATTATCTGAACCAGTCCCGGGCCTCCCCTAGGCCGACTCAGCCTCAAATGAGCACCTGGTACGATGTGTAAACATCGCCACTGGGGAGACAAAGGCGGCCGGGCGTGGTGTTGGCAGCCCACCCCCTCGTGTGCCGTGTCCGGCCTTCACAGGTGCTCGCTAACAGCGCTTGCCCCTACAGTCTGCTAAGGCTACACGGGGGATCCTTAATGTCGGCGAGCCTTTGACACTTGATGTGGCCCCGGAGTGCACTTGGCTGGGCGGCGGCTGTTGTTGTGCGAGGGCACATTTGTACGACTTAATTGACACCGGGCGCAAGTTCGGGGTGCGTCTAACTTTGCGGGGAGCGTCTTCCGATCTGAAAAGCGCGGCCTATACACCACAGCGCTGATGCTGTTGCGTTGTGCACTCGCGCGTGCCGGTTGTGCGCCGTCTTGCTGCTGCCCGCTGCTGCCCCGCCGGCCCAGCGCTGCCCACTGGAGAGCACGGTGCTCAAGGTGAAGCAGCTGGACCTGGGCGAGCCCAAGGCGATGCTGGCGCTGGCGTTGACTCCGCCAAACCTCTCCGACATCAAGCGCACGGTGCTGCTGCTCAAAGAGGTGCGGCCACAACACTCCCCCCTCCACAACTCCCACCGCTCCCCCCAGCACTACTTCCACCGCTGCCCCCACCACTTCTCCCCCCATAATGCCCTCACCACTCCTCACTCTACCCCACTGTGCCCCTCTCACCCAAGTGTTAATTCACCCAAAGGTTTTTTTTTTTTTCCTATCACGGTCAACGTCATCTTGGTCTCGTTGTCGGCGAGCCCCTCTGTTAACCCTCTCATCTGCAATTCCCTCCACCCCCGTCATCCATGCTGCAGGACTCCCTGCTTCCATGCATGTCGAGACTCAAGAGCTGGCTGACTGAATTGATTTAGTGACGTGATTAGAGGCCGCGTCACTCTGAGCGAGTCGAAAATGTTAATTGGCCATCTATGTCAAACATTTTTATGAGTTTGCCGATTGGATGGCCTGGTGAATTATGCACCTCGCACACGAACATTTAATGACAATGGGTGGGATTAATTGGTTTTTAATCACGGTCGCAGATTAATTACAGGCCCGAGAGGTCTGAAACGCCAAGTGGGCCAGCAACAAACGGCACACTTTTAAAGTTGTAACCGATAAAGGTTACAACATGGGACCTTTCTTGCCAGTGTAGTGTTTATAATGACGAATAAACTTCTTGTGAGGCACACTCTGTTTATTGTAATACTTCTCTTACACAGTCCTTAACACACAGAGGGGTATACAGTCCCCTCACCCGATACCCTAAGAAGGTACAGCCTCCGGACTTAGCGGGGCCTACACACAGGTCTCTTCCTAACCTAAGGAGGTACAGCCTCCTATCTTGGCGGGACTTACTCACACGTCTACTGCTATCCTAGAGTCCTCTAGCTGGGATCTAGGGGAGGCTATCTGACCCACCGCTGGCCCGGCGGGTCTTGACCACTGGATACGCCGAGCCTTAGCCCTCAGAAGGGCTGGAAGGCTGGGTCCAGGGTCCAGGGTCCTGTCTGTCTTCAGCCCGAGCTTCGGTCTTCGTGTAGGGAGAAAACTCCCCGCGCTCAGCACGGTCACCCCTTCTTATACCCGTTTGTGGCCAGGTCTAACCAATCCCACATTCCCACGTGGAACTGTCTGATTGGTTCTTACCAAACTGTGGCTACGATCCACTTCACCTCGTCTGACCCCAACCGTTAGGTACACAGAGGTAACGCTGCACTGCCCCTTTGATACCTGGTGGCAATGCAGGTTACCGAACAGTGAGTAGTTAACACCTCTACACCAGTATCAAAGTATTAAAATAGGTTTTACCCTTTCTGGCAATAAAACAGTTGTGTTAAGATGTTCGAACACCAAACAGAAACCTTTTTTGCAAGAAATCACGTCTGCATTAACCACACGTACTTGTGGTGAACATGAATACAAAAACTTTTTCTGTTTTCTTGCCAGAAAGGGTAAAACCTATTCTTATACGATGAAACGTGAACACTTCGTGATTTAAGGAAGGTTATCAGAAATTGGGGGGAGAAAGAGGTGGAGGGAGGGAATTCCAGAGTTGAGCAGTCCGAGGGAAACAGTCTGCTTTAGGCGACTAGGTTTGGGGATTGACGAAATTAAAATCCACATACTGGGTACTCACAGGCACTTTCATGAGTGGAAGTCGCTTGCGACGGAGAGGCGGATGGACGGTGGCGTTGTGATTTTGATGCCATTGTTGCCTTGACCAGAGTGGGTTAAGAGAGGTCGTGTCCAGTTCACCTGCTGGGTACATTATTTTTTTGCAGACGGGACGTTGTCTTCTCTGCCCTGTCCACTTGGTACAGAATTCTTCTTGATGGTGGGGGGAGGGCAGCAAGTTTTTGTATGCCTGTGGACTCCCCCTCAAAGTGGTGGCTATTTTATCGACCCCAGAGGGATGATGGGCGAAGTCAAACCCCCAAACAAGGCCGATTTCTCTCTACCGCTGAGCCTTTTGGCCGAATTCTTAACCGCTTGGTGGTACGGATGTATGTTGAACTTCTTTCGCACCATACTTAGTCAACCGTGCTAATCATGGTAAAAAACAGCCTTCTGTTCTGGTCTAAAAGCCTGCAAGGCAGTCACATGTCCAACGACATCTAGTTTCCTGGCATGTTAATGACCTCGCTGGGTATACAGGAGGTCGTGGGTCCGATCCCGACCCTGACGCCTGTATATTTGGAATTTGCGTGTTCTCCGCGTGGTCACGTGGATTTTTCTCTGGCTCCTCAGGTTTTCCCTCGACATTTAGAATCACCAAGCCTTTAAAGTATTTGGCTTCTGAAAAACCGCTATGTTAGCTCAGTGGGCCTTCCCTGGTAAAATAAAAAAAACATATATACGTTTTTTTACGCGACTCCAGTTGGTTAGGTGCCCTTTTTGCTAAGAAGTGAGGCATTGATTGGATGGATGCCGGAGAGCTTTGGGGCCAGCGGCGAGGCATTCCGTTTGCGCCGCACACGCCGCAGTGGAAGCTGCATTCGTCTGCGTATTGAGTTAAAGGCAACGTAATTGAGATAAGTGGCCTCGGCAACATCGCGGGCCACATTGGTTATCAGTGTCATTTTTCTGCGTTTGCATTCGGCGCTGCCTCCACTTGTTCGGGAGCGGGGGGGGGGAAGAAAAAGAACAAGCGGGGGGTGATCCTGAGAAATTTCCATCTCAAATATTAGTTGGTTTTGCATCCATTCCCTCGGTGGCGTTCATTCGTACGGGGGTATTTTTTTGTGAAAAGAAAATCCTCATAAGCCACGTGTCTGTCGTATTTTTGTTTACGAACAAAAGCACGTTTTTGAAATTGTGTAAACGTCCCATTGGACTTGAACGTTAAAAGCTCTCTAGTGTTTTTAGCACACCGTTCGCTCGCCGTGTTACACGCCTGCAGCTATTGATGGATATTTCCATGCTGTTCTCATCTACTAATAATAATAAATGCTTTAATTAGTTGTGGTAACATGTAGAGAGGCTATATTTCCTGTAGAGTAGAATGCCAATTTTTCAAAAGTTTAATTTACAATAAAACATAAAATTGGCCAAACATTTAAAAAAAAAACCCATTAACAAGGTTCTTTTCACTATTTCGCAAATATCACACCTCTCATAATTATGCTATAACTCGTGTGCTTGTTTGGGATGCTGCTGCAGTGCAAATGGTTAGCAAACTGGAATGTGAAATCCAGAGGTTGCCGCATTGCACATTCTATCCAGCAGAATGATCAGGTAAAACCACGCTTAGGCGGATCGGCAGGTTACGCGTCGCGGGGTAAAGTGTGGGTGCGACAACCTCTTCCAGGATGTCTGAACTGCATGGAAGAGGAGGCCACAATCTCCTCTAGTTGGTATTTGTAGAGCTTCTTCTCCTGGAGCCCCTTCAGCCAGCAGAAGCATGAGCAGGCTATTGTAGGGCAGCGCTTTTCACCTTATACTTGCGTGATAATTTGTATGTACTTGAGAGTACGTATTTAAATGTGTGTGTAAATGTATGTATGTTTATATATATATGCATTTCTGGGTCTGTCCCGTGACCACCTGCAGCGGGCGTTCGACACTTCACGTGACCTTCAAGTGCACATAGCCTGGCACAAGCGCCGTGGAGACGTCACCGCCACTTATTGGCGAATGGCAGCTATTGGTCCTGTTGTTGTTGTGCGCGCTTCTCCTCGGTGTGACCTGGCTGGTGCTGGTGGACTGCGCCGGCCACCTGCACGGTGGGCACAGCCGTGTGTGCACGCGCTCGTGTGTGTGTGCGCGTATGCACTTGTCCCAACAGTCTGTTAAAGCCTATACGGGGGATAATTGTGTTTGTGCTTGCATGTGTCCGTGTATTGGTGATGGGGCAGTTGTGGTTCAATTGAGAGTATTCCATACCTGGGCAGTGTGCTCATAACCGGCTCCGGTTTGACAACAGAGGTCTTACTCCGAATCAATCGAGCGGAATTATCTTTTCATCGGCTGCTTGACGCTGTGTGGAAGCTACCTGGCCTCTTGCTCCACACGAAGCTTCGGGTCTTATCTCCCACGGTCATGCCCTCCCTTCTCTATCCTTGCGAAACGTGGAACCCCCCTAATGGAACAATTTCGCCGGTTAGAAACATTTAGGCTGGCCTGCCTACGATCCATCCTGAGTTTAACCAAGCTGGATTGTGTGAGGAGCTCACAAAGCCTTAAAAGATCTGGACAAAGTCCCATCGGTGAGCTGCTCCAGCAGGCAAGGCTGCGTTGGCTGGGTCATGTAGCCTGCATGCCCAGTCACCGCATGCCTAAACAGCTTTCGGCCGGATAGAGGGGGCTAAACGGGTGAGGCACGGGCTTGAGAAGAGATGGGAGTGATGGGGTACAAGAGGATGTGGAGCTGAGTGGACTTGCCGATGACTGGTACCAGTAGTGTCAAGATTAGCCTCTGTGAAGTACGCTTCTGAGCAGTTGGAGGCAGTCGCCCTGCAGTAACAACGGAAGGCAGAGGAGCGACGTTCACAATAACGAGCGGAGCGCCGGGTGGCTAAAACATAGCAAGTTGGCACAGTAGGGGGCACTGGAGGGGGCACAAATGGTGCATTGGCAGTCATCTCGGTCAACCCGTGGCACCTGGGTCTATCCCATGACCTTCTGCCAGCGGGCATTCGACACTTCACTTGGCCTTAACGTGCACATGGCCCGGCACAAGCACCGTAGTGACATAACCGCCGCTTTGTGGCGAATGGCGGTTGTTGTTTTGTGTGCGTGATTGAGCGTGCGTGCGTGTGTGTTGCCCGTGCATAGGTGCTCGCTAATAGCACTTGCCCCAACAATCTGTGAAGGCTACATATGCCCATGCATATGTGTGTTTGCGTGTGCCGTGGGCGCGACCCGTCCCGGCGCAGGTCGGCGCCCTCACCATCACGATGGCGGACGGCGGGCTGAACTCGCACGACGGCGAGCTCACCACGCTGGGCCGCGTCCTCGCGTCGCTGCCCATGGACCTGCGCCTGGGCAAGCTGCTCGTGCTGGGGCACGTGTTCGGCTGCTTCTACGAGTGCCTTATCATCGGTGGGCCGCTCGCGCTCCCGCACACGCGTTCCGGCCACGCTTGAAGTCGTTCACGCGTCAGATCCGTCCGTCTGTCCATCGGTCCGACTGTCTGTCAGAGGGGGGATGGGATTGGGGGGGGTGAATGGGGGTGAGTGGGGGGGTGGCAGCTTAACCCTCGTAAAGGTGACCCAGCATGAACAATACTTTACTCCGGTTCTTCACCCATTTATAGATGGTCAAATCAAATTAAAAACTAGGTTTTTTTAACTACTGCTTTTTGTGTTTAGTTTGTTGTCCTTCCATCGCACCTCCGATTAGCACGGTTGGCTACGTACGGTGCGAAAGAAGTTCAACATACATAGATACAAATTGATCAAAGTGCTGCCCAAAACTTGGAGCCGCAAACGCATATTGGAGGGTGATAATCTAACATGCATATGCATGATTGTACTTTCTGGTTTCGTGTCAGGTTAATGCTTTGTCTCCCACCATGGGGTCAGGATACCGCTTTTAAAAATGGGGCCAGCAAAGCTTTCTTGTAAAGTTGCGTTGCTGGGATGGTGAATCACCAGATGCTTAGTCCAGCGAGTGTGTTTTAGAATTACCCGGATGCCACTACCCCCCTCTTCTCTCTGCCGAGGCTATAATACGACTGGCTAACTGCACACGTCCACCCTCATGATCGCCCAGCATGGCCGTTGAAACAATGGGGCACGTTTCTTGAATCACCCTGCCGGCCTCTGTCCCACCCAGCAGTATTAATGGGTTCATCACAGTCGGCAGGTCGCATGTGGTGGTGGTGGTGGTTGTGTAAATTGTGGTTATGTAGCAGGCAGCGCAGCGCCGCGCTATGAACCTGGCGACCCGAGTTCTATTCCCGCTCATGGCCAACACCAGTGACGATCATCTGAACCGGTCCTGGGCCTCCCCTAAGTCGGCTCGGCCTCAAATGAGTACCTAGTGCGGTGTGTAAACATCGCCACTGGGGAGACAAAGGCGGCCGGACATGGTGCTGGCCACCCACCCCATCCTGCGCCGTGCCGGCCTTCGAAGGTGCTTGCTAACAGCACTTGCCCCAACAGTCTGTTCAGGCTTTGTGTTTGATGTAAATTGTGCTTTACTCGCATCTCTTTCAAGACATCTGGCCAGTGTGGAACGGTAGGCCCAAAGCACCCTCTACAGAGGGGATATTTTGTGCTCCCTCTAGCGGAAGGCCAGCAGCATTGCGAGCGAGCCATTGTGCGGGGGCGTGGTGTCATCCTTAAAGCCACGACGGAATTAACAATTGAGGAATCGGTAAAGGGCTCTCGCGCGCGAGCGAACCCAGCGACACGATCGCGACGGCTCGTCAACCTCGCCCGTCATCTCGTCCCCTTGCAGCCGCGTCGCTGTCCCTGCAGAGCACGTTCCTCACGCCCTTCAACGAGATGCTGAAATCCTTCCGGTGAGTGGCTATCGAGCGCACGAGCTTGGGTTTTTCGTGCGACTCCTGTCCCTGACCTGAATGGAAGTTGCCATCCTAGTTACCCACGAGAGGGCTTGTCCAGATATAGAAAATTTAAACTTATCTTTTTACAAAAGAAAATTGAACGGCAATGATTGCCAGTGTCAATTGCCCTAAAGAAGGTGGAACGCAGGGCGATTGATTGTGTCACTTAAGAGGCAAAGGCTGAACATGAGAAGTACTCTGATTAAGTGTTAAACAACCAATTCTTAAACGTGCTCTTTGTTTTTCATCTCAGCTCATTAGGCCGATGTCCAATTATCGACTGGGAATCCTACTCTAAAATCTGTGATGAAGGTTTTCGCAAATATAGGCCACATCATTTGCTTTTCTTTGCACTGTTAATTAGTTTTAGTGCAACCATCTGTTGATTCAATACAGTGCACGCACGTACAATTAATTTATAAAACGTCGCATTAGCGAATGCGTTAATTAACGGTTTTGACAAATACGATGGCTCTCTGATGGCCAATTTTTTTTCTGCCCTTAGCTGAGTGCTTCCCTCCGCTGCTGCTGTTACATAGGAATGAATCCGGACATTGCTGGGTTATCGGTGATGGGGAGGGCAGCGTGTCGCTATTTAATGACGACAAATTAACCTCGCTGGCCTTTCCGTTCCTCGAGGCCGCTCTGGGAAAATCCCAGAGCGAACCCATTTTGTTAATGGCAGCAGAATGTTAACCCCATTCCGATGACTTTACGTGTACTCTATCGGTACCGAGGCCCACACGGGAGGGCGTGTGGCACAGTTTGTTGCCAGCTATCGTAGAGCGCGGTCGTGCCGCTACGCCTCTCTGCGGTGAGTACAATGTCCTTTAAAAACAACGGCGCCATGCCTCTCTAAATGAAATGTGGAACGGTTGAACCCTCGAGATTCAGCGACGAACGGGGGGACACCACCCTGCGAAACTTGCGGTCGTCTCTGACCGGGAAAGGGTTAATTGACGTTTCGGTTTTTTTTGCTCGGCGGAGATGGCAATGTCTGCTGACGCTGCTGTGCCGGGCCGGTGTGTGGCATGCAGGCACAAGCTCGCCTGGTCCGATGGCTCCCACAGCGACTGCTTGGCCGCAGTTAACGCTTACAAGGCAAGTCGAGGTTTTTTTTTCACCCCCCCCCCCCACCTTTTATGTTTTTTGTTTGTTTGATTTCGCCACAGCATCGGGGACCCATTGGCGACTCGGCCGTCCGCTAACTAAGGTTTATTTTTGCAGGAATGGAAGCATTGCAAGGAGAGTGGAAAATTTAGGACTCACAAGGTGTTGGATTTTTCTTTTCACGCACTCATCCGAATGATAGCGCTTTGTGAAAGAGCTCCCCGGTGTTTTGCACAGTTCACGTTATGCGGGCTACGGTGGCCGCGCACGCACGCGTGTAATCCAGGACTTGTCGAACTCCGTGACGCTCGGAAGCTTTGCTGCTCGTTAATCCTGCAACGATTCCCCCAGCCCCCCCCCCCCCACACCATGGTCCCATAAATTGTCACCAATTCAGAGTCTCTATTCAATTCGAGAAGCGTAGGTTCTATTTTCGCATTGCGCCGAAGGGGGTCACGTGAACACTTGACATTCGACGTATATGGGGAATTCAAAAACATTGATCCTTGCACAATTAGACACGTGTATCGTGAGCTTCGTGACCAATATCAAGTGGACACATTAAAAGTTCACTGCTTGAGAGCCGTCCCAGCCATTGCCTGCGGCCGTTGTTTTTGCACCTGCCGTACCGACGCCGCAAAGTTGCGATCGAGTCATTGTTCTTTTTCCCCCAACGTCCTGGTGATGAAGGTGGAGAAGAAGTGGGGGTTGGAGAAGATGATCATCGTGCGCCGGATGCACGAGGTGAGCTGGGATCCGAGGGGGCACGCACCTGCCTTGCAGACTCCGGTCCACATTTTCGTGTTTACCCGTCAAACCCGCGATGTTCCCGGACCGGGTTTTAGGTTTCCGGCATTGCGTGCGGTGCATGCGGTGCGGTGCGGTGCGAAGAGATGGTTGTTTTTTTATCGTTTTGTTTCCCCAGGTGGACGAGCTGATGGAGGAAATAATGAAGCGGCTGTTAAAATTCAACATCCGTTTGGACAAACTTGATGGCATGGAGCCGCCCGACAAATACGACCCGTTTGTCCTGAAGGTTCGGATCCTGGCCGAGTGCTCGACAACGCGGCGCGGCAGTCAGCACGCCGGACTGGCTTTTTGAGGCCAGTCGAATCGTTACTCTTTTCGAGAAGCCGTTTTGATCACGAGTGGCTGCCCCAGATTGCGAACACGCCGAATCTTGACAGCGCCGACAGACCTTGATGTTTGCGAGTCACCTTGATTATAAGGGAGCTGGCGTGCATTGTCAGTGTTTTGTTTTTGTTGTGTACGTGTGTGGCATAATTAGGTTGCTGCCGTGGTTATAGTAGCCCACCGGAATTGAGAATCAGAATATTTATTTTGACTGGAGGAGGAATCTGATGAGCTACAAAGCTCTTTTTCACCGATGTCCATTCGGGGCGGGTGAGAACGTAACAACAACGAACAGTGCAAAAAACACGACATGAGTGCATAGTACAAGAAAAGTAAACAAATCACCCAGCACACTTACAAAATAAAACTAAACCAATCCTACCAGACAAAGGCCCACCGAGGTATCAATTTATTAATTGCAGCCGAGACGTCGCCGGTTCGATTCGATCTTGCAGCGGGACAATCGAAACACTGGGCACATGTTTAAATCTCCACCCCCTGCCCCATCCATCCTCCATCCCGCGACCTGTCTCCCCAGCACAAACAAATGGGTGCAACGCAGTTTGATCGGCAGGTCACGTGTGCCCGGGGTGTGCAGTGTGGGTAACTCCCCCACCCCTTCCAAATCCGTCTTACCAATGTGGAAGAAGAGTGTAGGCCAAAAGGACCACCCTAGGGAGGCCTACCTAGAGCTTCTCCACTCATAGAGGCCCTTTCACCAGGAGCGGCGGTGACGGAGCAATTGCGGGGCTGCACCTTTGCCCCATACGTAGAGGCACAATAAATGTTAACCGCCGGCCTGGTTTACGCCTATTTGAACGCCGTATTTTTTGCGCCATTGTAGTTTTATTTATTTATTATTATTATCATCAATCCAGAGGTAACCGTCCGAGCCTGAGCAACTGACGAGCAGCGGGAGTGTTGGATGGTTTTACCGATGATGACCACGGGATCGCTTCTGCGAGCGTCTCGTAAAAACGCCTCGCTGTGACCCCCTCAAGTTTTACGGTTGTAGCCGACCCTGCTAGAGAACCACACCCAGGAAACCAACATCCCGAATCCCATCGGGGGTGGGGGGTGGGTGGAGAGCGTGGGGAAGGGACTGTGTTTTCTCTTGATTTGTGCCGTCCTGATCAACACGCGTGGATTTGAGGCAACAGACACACGCACACACAGGTTAATGACACAATTCCGAACCGTTCAGGACCATTAAACAAAAATAAGAGGGCACAGAGGGTGGGGGCGTGAGGGTGGGTAGGACGCCCCGCAAGAACCGGGGGGGGGGGGGAGGGGATGGCTGACGGTCGAGAAGAAGAGCGACATGGTGGGGGTGGCCAACCGTGGAATTGAGCGCGTGAGATAGGACGTCCACCATGGAGATGGAGCAATGAGATCGGCTCGTGCACAGGTGCTCGGTGGATTGTTACATCGCCGGAGCGTGAGAATTGAGGGGGGGGGGGTGGGGGTGGGGGAGGCCTTTATCCAGCATTGGATTGATCGTGGCAGGAGCTGTCCTGAGTGGGTGAGAGTGTTTGCGGGGTTTGTTAAACCGACCTGGACAACAGATGAAGGGCGCACGCACAGTTAAAGCGAGTGGAATCCTCCTCTGGAGTTGTTGCGGCGCAAGAATTTGAAGAGGTGCCGTGATAGTGGCACTTCAGTGAGGGGGAAGAGATTCGCTGCCCCTTTAACCGGAGTCTGCTGGAAAATTACTGCCAATGAAAAAATGTCCCGTAAATTATTGAAATGGGAAAAGTAAAAAAAAAAGGTCTGCGGGCGTGATATGACCTTCCGTAAAAAAATCAGTTTGCACGACTTCTCTCTCGCAGTGAATTGACATCAAATAAAAATAATACATTCGTTGCCGTGTTTTAGTGCAACGCGGGAAGCTTAGGTAAAACACATTCTCCTGCGGAGGGAGCTGGTAGGAACGTTGGGTTGCTAGGTCAATGGCCAGGGTCAACGGCGGCACCACGTGGTGTATTCCGCAAATATGCCTGACTGTGAGGGCGGGCACAAGCCGGCGTGAGTAGGTTAAACGTTGAGTTTTATAAGGGCACCACGGGGTGACCAGCCCCTCCCCACCCAGCCCCACCCCTCCCACCCCCCACCCAGCCCCTCCCCACCATCCCCACCCAGCCCCTCCCCACCCAGCCCCTCCCCACCCTCCCCACGCAAGCCCCTCCCCACCCTCCCCTCCCCACCCAGCCCCTCCCCTCTCCACCCAGCCCCACCCCTCCCATTTTTGGATGCAGGACGGACGGACGGACACAATATTCCCCTGTGGGCTGGTGTAACCAGGAGGTTCCTACCAGTATTAAGGCCACTTCTGTATGAATGCACATCAACAGAGCTTGGTGGACAACTTTTGGCGTCAGATCTGGCCGAGTTCCCCCTTGTTTGTGGCTTACCGTGCCACTGAACCATTCTTTCTCAGATTGAATGGAAACTGCACGTAACAAAATCCTAAATTATTGCTTTTGCTTGTTGTCCCCAGAATTATTTTGTTCCATTATAGTGGTGAGGCACATTACGTGTATTCACAAATGGTACATCGTTATAACAAAAAATATAGGTGAGGCTGCGTACCGGTACGAAGAGGGCACGTTCTGAGTGCACAGGAGCCCGTTGGGTGTGAGCCCGAGTACTCGTAACGTGTCCGACGGGTTGTGCTACCGCGCGTTGTGCTCACCGCGCGTTCTCTCCGTCCCCTAAAACGATTTGGGCTCCTTCGTTGGGCCGGATTTGTTGGCCCGGCTTGCCAAGTTGTCTTAGCGATTGAGTGTCCCACCCTCAATAATACCGGTCGCTGCTGTAATACACAAGTCGAGCGACGTAACATGAACCCTTTCCCGTTCCGAGACGTCTGCAAGTTACAGGGTCGGTGTCCTGTTCACCGCAGAATCTCAGAACACGGAAGCAGTTCGCGTTCATTTTATTCAGTGAGGCAAAGCACCCTTGTTTTTAAAGACATTGTACTCGCCGCAGTGGGAAGGTGCCCCGAGGGAGGACGTCCACCGCCGGTCGAGAGCGACCGCTAGGGATGGCGACGGCTTGGAGGGGGGCGGGGGGGTGGGAGGGGGGTCCTCATCGAGCAGCGGAAAGATCATGGCTGATGATTATACTTTTTTTTGTTTCCGTCAATTGAGAGTCTTTCGCACTCGTAGCTGGAGAAATGTCCTGAGGCAGCCTGCCGTGTTGGTTAGGGGCCCCTCTTGTGTTTCTCATGCGCGTGGTTGTGGGGTCTGCCCTTGCAGGTGGTGTTGGCCGGAGCCTTTTACCCCTTCTACTTCGGCTGCTGCTCCATTAACGAGGCCATCGCTGCCAAGGACATGAACCTTCATGACCCCAAGACCACGGTCAAGGTATAAGGGACCCCAACCACCACCCACCCACCGCCACCATAGAGATTTGGGCCTGAAGTTTGATGTCATGCTGGAATTGAACTTGTAATTACAATAAATTATTTAGCTTTAACTGAGTGGCAGCAATATGTTGACATGTATTGATGAGGGTAAAGCACTGTTGTGCAAAAAGAAGAGCGTAAAATAACTAAATGTGATGTAGTTTTGCCTCAAATCTATTTTTTTGCCATATACAAACCAGCCGAGGCAATGCCTGGACAAGGGGATACCAGCGATGGTGATTGTGTTGAGGTTGGTGGGAACGGTAATAATGGTCATGGATCGGGGTGGAGATGGTGGTTATTGATGACGGGTGATGATGCACAACCCCATAATTGTATCCTCATGCAGCAGATAATTTAGCCTGACCAGGTAAAATAACCAAAAAATAGTTTTTAGATTTAAAAAAATGGAGAGACTATTTGGGGACCACCTGTAGCGCCGGTAGATGAGATCCGTGATGATGCTTCCCTGGAGTTTGGCGTCTCAGCGGCTGCCCGCCGCCCCTCTTCCCCTTTCTGTTGTGTGCTGGTCCAGCTGTGGAACATGCCTCCCAAGGGCCAGTGCTACACCCAGCAGCTCAGCGCCGCCCTGGGGGATTGTGGCCGTGGAAAAGCAATCTACTTTGACGGCACAAGGTGGGAGCCTTTTTCAGAGCCAATAAATAAAATACCCTGGGGGGCAACGTCACGTTTAGTGTCGCGTCGTGAAAAGAGGTGGGGGGGGGGCGGGGGAACGGTGTCCGGTTTTGGTTTTGTGTCGGATTATTTGGGTGGCGCCACAGTGGCTAGGAGATGTTAACTCCCTCGCCTTGGTATACAGGAGGTCGTCGTGAGTTCGATCGTGACCCTGACGCCCGTATATGTGGAGTTTATATGGTATCTCTCCCTGTGGTCGTGTGGATTTTTTTTCTCCAAGTCCTCCGGTTCTTCCTCCACGTTTAGAAACGTGCCTTTAAGAGCATTTGACTGCTATAAATTTTCACATGATGATAAGCCACTTTGTTGAGCTATCATTTGTGGCCAGGACGCTTCTGAAAAAGAGCTACATAGCTCAGTGGGCCTTAACCTAGTAAAATAAAAAAAATGTTTTAGTTTAGTTTTAACACATAGGCTTTCGCGACCAATATTATTCATAATGAAGGTTTTTTTTAGTTAGATCGCATAAGTATATGTGTGTCGTAACCCTCCACCCCCCCCGATACAAGCCAGTAAGATTTGTCACGATTTAAAGCTTTCGTGACTGCAATGATTCATCTTCTTTGGTTCTTTCGGTAAAGTCACGTAGAATGAGAATAAAATAATAAATTGATAAAATTAAATAACAATAATATTCTCACGACGTTTCGGCCACAACACAAGCGGCCTTCATCAGGTGAAGGGACGAGACTGTCTGGTAGGACAGCGCTGGAGTGAAAGAGCCACGTTCAGATCACGACCTTTAAGCTGTGTGAGAGGAAACAAAGCGCCTTGACAAAGGAATTAGCATATAATTTAGCATTGAAATGGCTGAGTGATTAGCTTGTGACTGGTCACAGAAATAGCTATGTTAAAAGTTAAAGCATACACATCCGCAGAGGCACCCCTTGACAAAGGAATTAGCATAGAATTTAGCATTGAAATAGCTCAGTTAAAGCATACACATCTGCAGAGGCACCCCTTGACAAAGGAATTAGCATAGAATTTAGCATTGAAATAGCTGAGTGATTAGCTTGTAACTGGTCACAGAAATAGCTTCGTTGAAGTCAGAGCATACACATTCACCGAGGCACTTAGTACAAATCAAACAGGAGAATTTAGCATTGAAATAACTAGGCGAATTTAGCATTGAACCGAGAAGATGGATTCTGGCTTAGTAACCATTGGAAAGATGTTTTAAATAATTTCTGTTCTTAATTAATTGTATTTTACGATGACCTTCAGACCGCAGCTCTTCCGCCAGCATTGACTCTTAATACCTCTCACACCACGGTTAATGGTATGGTTTACAACATGGAGTATAATAGCGCCTCGCAGCTGTCTCTCTCCCCCTCCTCTGTTCCGACCATGGATGAACTCGTCCGTCTGAACGGGGCCCGTAGCTATCCGTGGGGCTAAAGTTGAGGGTAAGAATCCACCCATTTTTTCACCATATAGCATTGTGATATATAACGACTTATTGTTGGTAGCTTAGCTGATTGGAGAATATAGAGTTTATTGATAACATTAAGGTAATTTATATTTTAGTTTTTTATTGGTTCACTATATAGTACTGTGAATAGCTCAGATGTGTAGGCCTTGACTTCAACATAGTCATTTCTGTGACCAGTCACTAGCTAATCACTCAGTTATTTCAATGCTAAATTCGCCTAGTTATTTTAATGCTAAATTCTCCTGTTTGATTTGTACTAAGTGCCTCGGTGAATGTGTATGCTCTGATTTCAACGTAGCTATTTCTGTGACCAGTTACAAGCTAATCACTCAGCTATTTCAGTGCTAAATTCTATGCTAATTCCTTTGTCAAGGGGTGCCTCTGCGGATGTGTATGCTTTAACTTAGCTATTTCAATGCTAAATTCTATGCTAATTCCTTTGTCAAGGGGTGCCTCTGCGGATGTGTATGCTTTAACTTTTAACATAGCTATTTCTGTGACCAGTCACAAGCTAATCACTCAGCCATTTCAATGCTAAATTATATGCTAATTCCTTTGTCAAGGCGCTTTGTTTCCTCTCACACAGCTTAAAGGTCGTGATCTGAACGTGGCTCTTTCACTCCAGCGCTGTCCTACCAGACAGTCTCGTCCCTTCACCTGATGAAGGCCGCTTGTGTTGTGGCCGAAACGTCATGAGAATATTATTGTGTTATTTTATTTTATCAATTTATTATTTTATTCTCATTCTACGTGACTTTACCGAAAGAACCAAAGAAGAGGATTTGTCACGTGAAGAGCGCGCCAATTAGTTACTGCTACAGCCCACCGGTGTGTTGGAGAGTAAATCCACAACATATTACAGTTGTGGATTTACTCTCCAACACACCCAAAAACCTTTATTATGAGTTTAGTTTTAGTTCATTTCCTTGACTCGTAAAACAAAGTTGAGCGCAGCTTGTGGCTCTCCCCCCGCGTTTTTGGTTATCGGGTCGCACTCATTTCTTTAGAACTGCTTTTTGTGATTAAGTTTGTTGTCTTTACCCTTCCGCAGCTCCGATTAGCATGGTTGGCCACGTACGGCACGAAAGAAGTTCAACGTACAGCAAGCACACAGGCTAACAGCCAGGGTCCTCGCGTGCTCCCCGCCCTCCCCAACCCCCCCCCCCTCCCCCGCCACCCCAGGGTGTTCATGGAATTTCAGCGAGACCCGGAGGAGCACACTGCGAGCGTGCTGCGGGCCGTGTACCTGGCTCTCAAGATGAGCCAGCTGCGCATCCCAATCCGGCTGAAGCTGCTGCACATGGAGGACAATGACATGGACCTCCAGGAGGGCACGAGGAAGAATCCCGCCACCGGCCTCAATACGAACAGGTCCTGGCGAGGCGGCACCATAACGCCGCCAGTACCACGCTATTTAAACAAAACATTTTTTTTTTTTACTGGGTAATGCCCCCCCCCACTGAGCTGCGTAGCTCATTTTCAGAAGCGACCTGGCCACAAATGACAGCTCAGCGAAAGTGGCTTACCGTCGCGTGGAAATTTATTGCCGGAACATACTCTAAAACGCACGTTGATTCTAAATGTGGAGGGTAGAAACCCGAGGATCCGGAGAAAAATCCACACGACCACGGGGAGAACATGCAAACTCCAAATATACAGGCGTCAGGGTCGGCGGGATCCAACCCACGACCTTCTGTATACCAGGCGAGGTGGACAACAGAGGACAAACGCCGAAAAGGCCATTGCATCGCAATGGGGGATGCAAGCGGCGAGTCATTCGTGGGTTGGGCAAACATGCCACTTAAATGCTAGGCCTACCTCTGCATCCTAACTAACCACACCAGTTACTCGTGCTTGCCCTCTCATTGATCGCATGTTAACGAACTCGAAAAAAGCCGCAGATGCTAGCTCTGTCACTGATCTTAGCCCGAATAACCTATTCACTATTACCAACCCTATCACTGACCCTAAACATGCAAGCTAACCAGCCACTAGTATGAGCCATCTAACTGTTTTTGTTCCAACCAATTGGCAAATGAGTCGCTAGTATAGGCCCTCTCATTGACTTTAACCTAAGCCAACTATACAATGAGCCACTACTACTATCTGTATCACTGACTCTAACCCAAACAAACTAGCCAACCAACCGCTAATACATGCCCACCCAAGGTGAGGCAGTCTCCGCTGAGCGCTTCGTGTTCCAGGTGTGTGTGTGGGCATGGTGCCGGCCTTCATAGGCGGTCCCTAACAGCACTTGCCCCAAAAGTCTGGTATAGGCTATACGGAGAATCTTTGTATGCAGGTTCTGGGGAGCGGTAGTGTCGCGGTTAGCCCGCTGCACTACGAATCCAGCGACCAGAGTTCCATTTCCGCTCACGGCCAACACCAGTGTCGATTATTTGAACTGGTCCTGGGCCTCCCTTAGGTCAACTCTGCCTCAAATGAGTACCCGGTGCGGTGTGTAAACATCGCCACTGGGGAGACAAAGGCGGCCGGCCATGGTGCTGGCCACCCACCCCCTCGTGTGCCGTGGCGGCCTTTACAGGTGCTCGCTAACGGCACTTGCCCCTCCAGTCTGTGAGGGTTACACGGAGGATCTTCGTCTTTGTTGTGCAGGTTCTGCTGCGACATACAGAACCAGAAGCTGATGGAGAAGACCCAGACGCTGGCGGGGTTTTGGCTCATGGTCTTCATCACAGAGGTTGGCACGAGTCCGGCTCGCAGCACAGAATCTTGGCACTCGGCGACTCAAGCCACATTGTTAGCACGGCAGCGCCAAAAGGATCGCGAAAGGAAAGGCGCAGTACTTGACCGACTGCCAGGAACATTTCCCTTGATCCAGTTAGCAGAAATTTTGTTAAATATTAACCCGCACCCCCCCCCCCCCCCCCCCCCCCCCAAGTTTACCCTGGTTGTGGATGATCCGCGCTTGTGAAAAAATAAACATGTCTTCGGCTTAACTGTTCTGGACATCTATATAAGAAGAGCTTTATGACTCATCGGATTCCTGCAGTATAAATCAATTCGATTCTGTTCGATGCGCTTAGCTCTGGACGGTGCCCACTCGACCACGAACACGTCGGAGCTCCACACGGGTGCATGACTGACCCCCCCCCCCCTCGCCCCCCCCCTCCCCCCCCCGAGTTACGTGGCCTTTGATGGTCGTGGTCACGCGTGCGTGCGTGCACAGGTGCTGGACGTGGGCCACTTCTTCGCGCAGAAGGTGGACGACAACTCGAAAGAGGTGCAGCACCTCGCCGAGCGGATCGGGGAGCGGCCCAAGCGGCCGCTGATGGCGCCGCCATCCCCGGGCGACCTCTGCCTCTCGCCGTACCCGGACGAGAATAGCCAGGAGCTGTACCGTGCCCGCGTCATGCGCGTGCCCAGCAGCCATACCGTCGAGGTCTTAATCAGCATCACGATGCCCCCCCCCCACACACCCTCCTCCCTCTTGCCCCAACACCCGCCGTTCGCCACTAAGTGACGGTGACGTCACTACGGCGCCCGTGATAAGCCCAGGTGCACTTTGAGGCCACGAAGTGTCGAGGGCTCGCTGACAGGAGGTCACGGGACAGTCCAAGGTGCGATGGGTTGGCTGACAGATGACTGGCAGATGATGCACCAGCTGTGCCCTCCACTGTGCCGCCCCGCACCCAGCCTCACGCCATGGGCCCCCGTTCCCCACTCCTTCCTAGTTTGATTCCCGGCCACGGCTGACATCATTGGGGAGAGTGATATATGTGAACTGGTGCTGGACCACTGCCGCCTCCCCTTCACCAACCACCACTGGACCAGCTTGGGAAAGTATGGTCAAATGACGACCAGTGACTTGGGTAGGCTCTCGTCCAGCTGTCACTTGACACGGTGCTGAAAGTTAGCATTGTATATCTGCCATTGAATTAATAAATGGCTGAGGTGACCTTTAACAAAGTTCTAAACCAGAGGTGGGCAGCCGATGGTCTGCGGCCTGGAAACGGCCTGCAACTTCAGGGCCCACGACCACTTGGAAACTGCCTGCAAATGATGCGTATCCCTCGCAGTAAGCGTGTTAGCTGTGTTGATCTCGAGTACCAGTGTGATCACACTTGAGTACATTTTGCCCAAGGTATTTGAAAATCCCCAAACACAAATTTTCAGGGGGGCGGGGGAGGCACTTCCACCGATAAGACATCAGCATCACATTTGAAAACATCCGGTTTGACAGCACGATGATTCTGGGGGTTTTCAAAATGTGTGTATTGTGGGGGGGGGGGGGGGGGGGGGGGGGCGCACTAAAGGCCACCCGGGGGCTGCCAGTGGGCCTTGCATTGACGAGAAGTGGCTCAGCGAACAGCGCTCGGGTCGGTACGGCGCATTGTCGCACGCCCGCTCTGCTGCGTTGAGTGATTTTGTTCTCCGCTGCCTGCAGGTGTTTTTTGTGGACTTTGGAAACACGAGGAATATCCCACTGCAGGACCTCAAGGAACTTCCCCAGGACCTGAAGGATATGCCTTTCCAGGTCCTGCCGTGCGACGTGACGTGTGTATGCGCGTTTGTGTGTGTGTGTTATTGTGCCAGTGATGATGACACCAGTGATGACTATCCGAACTGGTTCTGGACTTACTCTAGGTCGACTCAGCCTAAATGAGTACCTGGCGTGGGTTGCAAACATTGCCACTGGGGAGACAAAGGTGGCCGGGCGTGGTGCTGGCCACCCAGCTCCTCGTGTGCCGTGCCAGCCTTCAGAGGTGCTCGCTAATAGCACTTGCCCTAACAGTCTGTTAGGGCTATATGGGGGGGATCCTTTGTCTTTTTGCGTGTGATTGTGGGGAGCGGTTAGTGCGCTGCACTACGAACCTGGCGACCCGAGTTCGATTCCCATTCACGGCCAACACCAGTGACGATTATCCGAACCCTGTCCCAGGCCTCCCCTCGGAAGACTTGGTGTAATAAACACCGCCCGCTCAGGGAGACAAAGGCGGCCGGGCGTGGTTCCTGGCCACCCACACCCCGTCTTGTGCCTCGCTAACAGCACTCGTCCCCAACAGTATTTTTTTTAAAGGCGTGAGACGAGGATGAGACGTGGGCGAAGAATAAACTCTACGTGCCGGGAGCTCGGTGTTTTTTAAAGCATTGACTGCCACGCTGGGCACATCGCACATGGGGGGGGGGGGGGGCGGGGGGGTTTTACGAAGCCGCGTGAACCGCCAGGCACCCACCCCCCACCTCTACTGTCGTACAGGCCATGGAGTGCATGCTGTGCGAGGTGCGGCCTTCGGCCCTGTCGCGCATCGCCGCCGGGGGCAGCTGGAGCGCCGACGCTCGTAGCTGGTTCAGCCAACAGACGCTGGAGAAGAAGTTCTTCATGCAGGTGCGCGGCACGTCGTCTTAGTTGGGGAGGTGGGGTTTGTGGGGCGTGGGGGGGCCGGTTGGAGGGGTTGGGGCTGCGGTTTACTGTAACTTCACAACTGGGGAGAAAGAGGCGGCCGGGACATGGTGCTGCGGCCACCCACCAACCACCCCCCTCGTTTGGCCGTTTGGAAAACGACACCTGTGCGACCGTCCTCTCCCGCCCTTTGCGTGCGGCATTTGCATGCGATGCAAAAATTACGCTGTGAACTCAAAGGCAGGCAGATATCATTTACATTTCTAGTTGAATTTCTTAAAATGTATTTGTATCTTCTCGTGTGACCCCCAAAAGTATCCCCGTTGAAAATTATAGCGAAAAATCTATTAACAGGACAATTGCGAAGTTTTGTGATTACGGGCACTCATCCGTCAATAGATTTGGCAAGCGTTAGGACTTGTCGCATCTGATGCCACGGTAGCTGGACAGCAAGCGCTAGGATGAGTCTCATGATTCGATTCGCCAATCGATTTTATTTTTTACGTTGTGGTGAACGGTAGCGCCTCTAGTGACCACATTGGTGACGATTTACAACAACAACAACAACTAAAAATTAATTAACAAAAAAAGTTATCGGAACACACGTGACGATGAGCCTGGATTTTAATGAATCGATGCATCGTCGCACTCAAAATTCCCACACCCGCACTGTCCACCACGGTCTAGCATGGTCAGATATCTCACGGGGGGCCCGCACGGTGTGGGTATGCCGTCATATAGCGGTGGATTGACAGGAACGTACTGTACATGTGTACGTGTGAACACCAATCGACCGATTGCCAAATGTCAATGCAGTAGTTGCAACTTGGAACGGTTTTGGAGCAGGTGCTTTGTTTTCATCATTTCCTTGCCCTTTTTCGTCAGCGGTCACTTATGGATTTTGCATAATTTCTCCCCCCTCCGATGAGCATGATCGCCTACGTACGGCGCGAAAGAAGTTAAACGTACATAATTACAATGCATTTTATTCGGTCCGAGTAATCGGCGAAATCTTTTCGTGATGAAACGGATGTTGTTCGTTCACTTTCATTTATGTAACCCCTCACCCCCCCCCCCCCCCCCCCCCCCCCACTACACCCCGCCTGCACAAAGAGACTACGTTCGCATCCGGCAAAAACTCCGTTTCGGATACCTTGGGCCCTCTCCGACAATGAATAAATCCCCCTTCAGTCCTCGCTCGCCGAGCCAAACTGGATCGGCGGCCGTCCGTCGCGCGCGCAGGTTTTCTCCATGGAGCACGGCGTGCTGCGCGTGAGGCTCTCCGGGAGCAGGCCGTTGGAGGGGGCGGCGTCCGGCTCCGCGGTGCCCAGCCAGCCGGCGGACGTGGGGAGGATGATGGTGGAGCTGGGGTTTGCCGAGCCCGCCGAGGAGGCCTTCGAGTCGAAGGTGAGCGCGACCGAGCGTGGATTTACGGCGGGGGGGGGAACGGATGTTTCGTAGTGGTGTCTTTTTAATTTTAAAGGCGGCAACAGTGACTATGAGTGAGTGTGTGTGTTGAACTTCTTTTGCCACCGTACGAAGCCGTCCGCGCTAATCGGAGGTGCGGTGGGAAGGACAGCAAAGTAAACAAACAGAAAGCAAATTTTGATTTAAAGCTTTCGTGACTGCAGTAATTCATATTCTTAGTTTTTTCGGTAAAGTCACGTTGAAGAGAAACAACAAAATAACAAAATATATATAAAACAATAAAAAATTCTCACGACGTTTCGACCATAACTCAAACGATGATGACCGTTTGAGTTATGGTCGAAACGTCGTGAGAATTTTTTATTGTTTTATATATATTTTGTTATTTTGTTGTTTCTCTTCAACGTGACTTTACCGAAAAAACTAAGAAAACAGAAAGCAGTTCGCGAAAAGTTGCGACTTGGAGAGAGAGTGGGCGTATTCGTCGAGCGTGTGACGATGGCCCAGGTATACCCACAAAAGGCTATCGTGATAAAAAAATACGTACGAGTTTGAATAAAGATGCAGACTAAGGTTGTTTAGTAACGTTACGTCGAGGCTGCGGAGCACTGTGGAAGACCAAAACTGATAATTGGCCGTATCAATATGAAGGAATTGTTCGACTCCACGACCAACTGGCTGACCCGTAGAATGCTTTTGATTGGCCGTAGGCCACGTGTCGGCCAGCCAATCGGAGCACTCTCCTTGCAGGGCAGGAGGGGAGTGTTCTGATTGGCCCTGCATCTCTCTACGACAGGCTCTTACACTCGTTTGAAAATTTTAAACATATTTAATTCACTGTTGGATGACCCAATAATGTTGGGGGGGGGGGGGGCGGGGGTGGAAACTGCACACCATTGTCTAAGAATATGTGACAATGCATTAGTCGCCTAGACACAGGGAGGTAGTAAATTAAATCCACACATTGAGGCCTGACTAAATTTCTACAGGTTGTCGTTTTCGACTAGCCTGAGGCTCTGACTAAAATAAAAAAACGCCGGTTACTTTAACTCTGCGAGCCACTGCCAAGGGCCGTCGCTCACTGTGACGCACGTGCGCGTGTGTGTTGTGGGGAGCGGTGGTGTAACGGTTAGCGCTATGCTGCGCTATGAACCCGGCGGCCCGGGTTCGATTCACGGCCAACACCCAGTGACGATTATCTGAACCGGTCCTGGGCCTCCCCTAGGTCGACTCAGCCTCAAATGAGTACCTGGTGCGGTGTGTAAACGTCGCCACTGAGGAGACGAAGGCGGTCGGGCGTGGTGCTGGCCACCCACCCCCTCGTGCGCCGTGCCGGCCTTCACGGGTGCTGCTCGCCAACGGCACTTGCCCCAACGGTCCGTTAAGGCTACGCGGGGGATCTTTGTCTTTCATGAGTGCGGCCATAGAACTCTCGTCTATGTTCTGGTTGCCGTCGTTTTATTGTTAACCACCACCTGCTGGCTGGCTCATTGTTATGCTCCGGAGCACGGCGATAATCGGACCGCAGGGGTAGTGGTCATGCCGGGCTGGAAAGCAGCACGGGATTATAATGTGTACGTCATCGCTGCCAGCTTTATAGAGTCGCAAATGGCGCTCGAGGACGTTGACTTGAAGAATTTTATATCATCATCGTCGTCGGTCATGGTCAGGGGTCGGCAACTGAAATGGCTATAAGAACCAAAACATTTTTTTTCGAATTCAGAAAAAAAAACCGAGCCGCAGTGCAATGTGAATACGAGACAGTGGTGGCCCTTCATAAAATCGCAACACGAAGCAGTCCTTAAAGAGCCGGATGCGGGCTCCGCGGCCGCAGGTTTGCCGATGCCTGGTCGTGGTCTGTCCACTTCTGGATGAAGTCCCCTACCCCCCCAAGCCGTTGCCATCTCGCACATCGCTGCCGTGCGTTAAAATTCCACCTCGCAGCTGCACGCGAGCTGCTTCAATCGCTCCGACGTTCCATTTCGTCTGCTGCCAGTCCGTCATTAGTCATTTCGATCGGCCATCGTCTCTGCTGCCCCAGGCCCACTTAATTTTTCTGAACGGTTTGATGCCATTAAGCTGCGTTTTCATATCCTCCGCACGCATTTTCTTTTCTTTTTACTTTTTATCTCTCGTTATGCGCAAACGCGCGTGAGCACCTACACGGACGCATGAAGTATCCATTTCTCAAAAAAATATCTGGAGACATTTCTCAATTTAATAAAGCGGCAAAACAGTATTTGGCTGATAAAACATCTGCCCGCAATCTCCTCTAGAGACTTGGGTCTGTCGTTGGGTTGCATTCACAGGAGGCGGACAAGCCGCTCGCGACGTCCATCCACGAGCCGCGCTCACGAACGATGCGCGTCACGCCTGAAACTCTTTGACGTACGGCGCAACATGAACCTGCCACGCGGCGGGGGGTTATAACGTCGGCCCGGTGCCGCGGCGAGGATTAACGAACGCCAGGGTCACCCCCCCCCCCCCTGCCCTCCCGTCGGAGGGTCACTGCGCACGGAGGCGCCGTCCGCAGGGAGCCCGTTGCCGCTTTCTCTCTTTCTCTCTCTCTCCGTCGCGCCTTCAACTCCTCCGCTCGACGCCCATCCGGCAGGTCGGCAGGCGCGGCACGGCGCCTGCCGAAACCCCGTAGGAGGATGGACGGTGTCGGAAAGCGCGCGGCACCTCGGTGGATCCGGAGAAGCTTTTTACAGCCACGTTGGCGCGCGAAGGATTCTTACGTTCTATGAAGCCGAGTTCAAAGCGTTTAATATCCAAGAGGGGAGTTGATCTCTTCTTGATTTTTAAATCTCGGTTTTTTTTTCCCACCAAGGATCCGCTCATGCTGCATTTCGGTTAAATTAGTGCCTTATGCGTAGGCATGTTCCTTCCACACACACCCCCCTCCCCCACCCACCAAGTGCTCTTTCCCCTGCAGAGCTTCACGATTCGAATCCAGTGGCCCTCCCAAACGCGCGCCTCCAGTGGCTGCAAGGTTCACGTAAAATCACGTGGTAATGTAGACGAGCTTCACGGGAAAAAAACATTTTCACGTGTGTGGTTATGCTTGTATGCGTGTACGTCGATGCACATCTACGCACGCCCAGTAGTTTCCCCTGCATAATTGGACGCTTGCTCGTGTCGCTTGTTTGATGTTTGTGCGATGTTTGCACCGATGCTACATTCCATTTAATTCATTTGTTTTACAAAGGTCACCGATTTCATCTCCTGGTGAAACAGTCGAAGCAGTTGAAGTTTTTTTAATCCCCTCCCCACCACTACCACCTCTGTCCACCCAACAATATAAATGGGTAACACCACCTCAGTTGAGTCAGTGGGCAGGTCGCGTGTGGTGGGCTAAAGTGTGGGGACTCCCATCTCTTCCAAGACTATTTAAACTAAGCAATTTTAAAAAATATATATATATTTTACCACAACAAAGTTGCTTATTGTCCTGTGGAAATGTATAGCACCCATATATTCTAAACGCACATTTCTCAATGTGGAGGGAAAAACCGGAGGACCTGGAGAAAAATCAACATGACCACGAGGAGAACATGCAAACTCCAAATATACAGCAGGCATCAGGGTTGGGATATAACCCACGACCTCCTGTGTACCAGGCAAGGTAGTTAACATCTCACCACCGCGGCACCCTGACACCTGGGCAGCGTGGAAGATTAGGCCAAAATACCTTCTAGAAGGTCTCTCTAGCTCTCCCTCTATTGGGGGGGGGGGTCGTTTTGCCAACAGTGATGTGAACAAGACATTGCAGAGCTGCACCTTTGCCAAATCCCTACATATTCACGGTCGGCTCTCGCCTCCATCTCCTTTTGATGGCTGCTGATGTAGATGCAGAGCAACAACAAAAATTTCACATTCAGGTGGTCCAGCCAATAACCGCGTGAGGAGCAGCAGCGGAGCGTATCTCTGTGATGTCTCCTTCGTGTTCGTGGATCTCGGGGCATTGCATCGTTATGCATTGTTACGGTCTGTTCTGGATCACCACAGTCGCACACTGGAGAGTTTAAAATTTTCCACTTGTGCATCACGTATCCGCATCTGCCATTGTTTTTTTTTGCGGGTGCGATTTAGGGGTGGACCATGGGCCCTCGCCTGAATTAACGGGATAAAGTGCCGCGCGTTGATGGACCGATCTGGCGACCTGTCCCGCATTTTCTTTTTTTCAGCAAAACCACGAATTGCTGGATGGCAAGTTCCCCGTCACCGTCAGCAACGCCCGGGCCTACCCGGAGGTGGCGGCGCGACCGATGGTGGACGGCGTGGACAACTTCTCGATGCTCTCCGTGTCGGCGTCTAGCCTTCATCGCGTGCGTGGTGCAGCACCGTGGGGGGGGGGGGGGGGGGGGGGGCGTCATTTTATCCGGGGCTCTCCTGATCGGGATGCTGCTGCCCCACAGCGGTTTGAGGGGAGGGGGTTAGTGCACTACTGAACTTGGAATTGAGAAGGTAACACGCCGGTCCGGATCGCTCTCTCCCCGGCGCAATACGTTGAGACCCGACGGTGTACCGTGCGTGTTTGTCAATCTCTCCCCTGCACTCTGTCCACCCGGCAGTATCAAAGGGTGTGGGGTAAAGTGTGGATACCCCCAACCCACCTCTTCTTAAAAGATGCCTTCTTAAATGGTGCCACTTGTATAACCGCTGGGTGGACAGAGGCAGTGTTACGCGGCAGTGGTATTTAGATGCTTTATGAATCCTGGTTGCATCAGGGCTTCTATTGGGTCAGTTCGAACTTTTTTTTAAATATTGTTTTACGTACACTCTGATGTGGTACTACGGCCTACATATAACACCAGCAGTGGCCTGCAACACTATATGCGTTTAGAGTATTTGGCTGCTAGAAGTGTCAATGCGATAAGCCACTTTGTTGAACCATCATTCGTGGCCTGGAACGCTTCTGAAAAATAACTATATAGCTTCTGGCCTTAGGTGGTAAAATAAAAATAAAAATGTTTATCATCGAGGGAGAACGCGAGCTGCTCCGTTCCGTTCCTGAAGCGGCGCCCAGCACTTGGAGCGAAACGACGGACATGGTACCGAACAACACGGAACCGAAAGCACGACGCAGAGCCACTGCGCAGCACAACCGCGACAACTTACCGCTGCCCCTCGGCGTACGGACATTATATATCGTGATCGAGTAACTGCGATAGATTATTTTATTATCCAGTCTACAACAGGTGGCACGTATTACCAGTGTAATACAGCGTGATAATAACCAACACTGTAACGTGCGCGCATTTCGCGAATCGGACACGTTGTTTGATCAAAATCCCGGAAGGCGTGGAGCCAGGCATCAAAAAGTCCCTCGTACTCAACCTGAACAGGAGAGGGCCTGAACAGGAGAGGGCCTGAACAGGAGAGGGCCTGAACATGAGAGGGCCTGAACAGTGAGCTTTAATAGGTGATTCTGAATAGGTGAGCCCAAATAGGTGAGAGCCTGGATAATTGAGAAACTGGACGCGTGAGAACCTGAACTGGTAAGAACCTGGACAGCCGAGAGGCTGGACAGATAAGAATCTAAATAGGTTAGCGTGAACAGGTGAGCCTAAACAGGTGAGAGCCTGGACAGGTTTAAGCCCGAACAGGTGAGAGCTTAGACAGGTGAGAGCCTGAATGGTTGAGAGCCTGGACAGGTGAGAGCCTGGACAGCTGAGTGCCTTGAGCTGCTGCATGAAGGCGGATGATGGTGCTTGGATGCTGCTGCTGCTGCTGTGGATGTGCAGTGGAAGAAAGAGTTCCAGATGGTTGCCCGTGCAGCTTCAGAGAACCGCCGCCCGTCCAGGGATGGCCCTGGGTTCTGGGGACGACGAGCAGATTTTTAGACGTGCTCCGATAAGCGGCCGTCCTACCTTGTTTTTTTTCACTTGGGTTCGTCTCATTCTGCCTCTTGAGAATTCAAAGTTTGGGTTTTATTCACATACATTGAGCGTCCCTTTGGAGGGGAAACACCATCACGTCAGTGTGCACAATGCAACGTTCAATGTCAAATTCTCAAGGGACTGAAGTGCAAGCAGATATGTGACAAGGTCGGATATGTGAACAACATCTTGAGAAAATGGCGCGAATACTGCACTGGGCTGCGGTCGGCTAATTTGTCAGGGCAGATCTGTGACGGATAAATAAACGATGGTTGTATTGGATTGAGAAGTCGCCCTGGTATAGACACGCAGGCTTATCTAGCAGAGGACAGACTCTGGACCCAACCTGCACTGTCGGAAAATTACCCATTCTCGGGAATACCGACGAAGAAAATGCCTGACCGCGTTTTGGAATGAACGGAGCTCTCTCTTTCCCAGGAGCTGCAAGGGCCGACAAGTTCTTACGAGATGAGATTCTGCAGCATGACCAACATGGGCCGACTGAGGTAGCTGAGAATCCGGGCTTTGGCCGCTGTTTTATTTTTGATGATGCGACATTTGGTTTAACTTTACCGCGTAGGTTTTCGCAGCCAATCTCTAACGATGCGCAATTAATTATTTCGATGAGACCAACGCTTCACGAGGTGGCCAAGCAAATTAAATTGTCACGCAGTGTACAGATAAAAGATGCTTGGCGTAGTTTAAAGCGAATCATCGCTGTATCCAACTGCTAAATTTGTCTGTGAGTGAGCTGAAACAATCGTACTTCGTTAAATCGCTTGTGCAGCGCGTGACAATTTAATGTTTGGCTGTGTCAGGCGGCGGGGGAGGGCCTTGTGACAGAAATTTTGACCGGATCGTTACGTGGTCTGTCCCCAAAAATCATTTTGGAATTATATTATTTTCCGCGACAGGGCAACAATCGCGACGTCAGTTTCCTGCGGCTTTGTATTTCGCAATTCGTACACAATATTTCACCTAAATTTTGATTTAAAGCTTTCGTGACTGCAGTAATTCATATTCTTAGTTCTTTCGGTAAAGTCACGTTGAAGGGAAACAACAAAATAATAAAATATATATAAAATATTATATATATAATATTTCACCTCTTTTTTGCACAATTTCCCGTGAAATTGTATTCCGGGCGAGTTGCGGTCGCTGGGAGAGAGTAGCGGCTGGAGAAGAACCACCCCTGACTTGGCGGGGGTGGTGGGGGGGGGTTACCGGTGTGTGACTTGCGTGCAGGTCGGTGCGCGTGGGGAACATGAGCGTCAACTCCGTGGCCGTCAACGACGAGCCGCAGGATTCTCACGATCGGCTCCTGGTTGCCGCCTCCGTCAAGGTCAACCAATCGGGTACCAGACGCCCCCCCCCCCCCCCCCCCCCCCATTTTGTCTACCTCGTGGTGATGTTTACACACCGTGCCGGGTGCTTATTTTAGGTTGAGTCGACCTAGGGGAGGCCCAGGACCGGTTCAGATAATCGTCACTGCTGTTGGCCGGGAGCGGGAATCGACCTAGGGTCGCCCGGGTTCATAGCGCAGCGCTCTAACCACTACACTACCGCCACCTCCCCGAACCAAAGACTTAATTTTTCCGAGCCTAGCCAGAGCAAGGCTCCCCTCTCACAGCACGGGCGGTTTTCCACTGGACCTTTGCCGAGCCAGGCCCCTGAACCAAAGCGTAATGTTGGCCGGGCCTCGCGAAGACGCGTGCATTCGGTCCGGGGCCAAGCAGGGCCGGGGGCGTACTTTTCGATCGTTTTCGGAGTCGGTTTGTACGCTTGAACGCGCAAAGTAGGCGGCACTGACTCGGGTTCTGTCGCGAGGAAAAAGACAACGTGGCGCGTCGGGACTGTGTGAGGCTGCTCTGAATGTCCACGCGATGAGCCGCTTTGTTGAGCTTTCAAGTTTGATAGCCGCGTCGCTTCTGAAAAAGAGCTGCATAGCTCAGTGGGGCCTTGCATCGTAAGATTAAAAAAAAAAAAAAACAGTTTGATACTTTGGCTGTGGTGTAACATTGCCGCTCGTCGACAGGGTCGACTATCCTGCTGCGAGACACGACGCTGATGCCGTCGATCCACGGCCTGCCGGCCATTTTGTGCCTGATCTTCACGCCCGTCATGGAGTTGAGGTAACCTCGGCGACCGGACATTTCGAGCTGGTGGTGGGGTGTAGTGGGGAGGGCGGGGGGGGGGGTGGTGACAGTTGTGTTTTGTTGGTGACTCGGCGTCTCGGCACCAAGGCGGCGTGCGAGTGGCGCCCGTGTGTGGACGCCTCAGTTTGAGGAAACTGCATTCGTATTCAAAGTCGTTTCCTCTGCTGCTTGTATCCTGTTTTGCAGTACCGAGACAGCGGTGGAAAATTCCACATTCCAGTGGTTGGGGACGAGTTGTTCCTTAAGACAGCGACTGATCCACACGTATGGTGGTAGTTTCTCTGCCAAAATTATCATCGTTAACCCTCCACCAGCCGACAAGATGGTCACGATATTATGATTACTTATACGTGCCGATGTGTCTTGGTGAAAATGTGCGACCGATAAAGCTTCTCTCACCCCCGGTGGCTTAGGAATTTCCACGACCGAATTTCACATCGACGTGCGGAGGCATTTCCCTCAGCCCTGCGATGAGCTGCTGCCAGGTCGTGAACTTGGAAACGAATGGAGCTGTCGCCTTAATGACGAGAACAGTGGCAATTAAACTACCGCATGGCCTCGCCAAAAAAAAAAATTACGACGTAAATCTAACGTTTAAGACAGTTGCTATTGACGCATTCAAAAATAGCACACTTGAAGCTGGATACAAGCACAGTCCTGACATAAGCAACAAATGCTTACATCACACTGGTGGGGTGACGGGGGGGGGGGACCATGCTGAACAACCAGAATGCAGTACACATCGGAGAGCTAAATTTAATCGGCTCGATTAAAATCGGATTTTCGTCGCGCGTAGCCAGCAAAGTGTTAACCGTCGATGCAACAGCTTTTCAAAACTGTACTTTGAAAGCACGTTCAAGCAAGTTACCGCATTTTATCATTTATTATTCCATCTGCACGCAGCGGCATTGGGGAAGTGGCTTTCGAACAGGTGTCGTCCGTTCGTGTTGGCTTATTAAGCCTAGGGGACACGTGGAAACCTGTCTCCAGGAACCTGTCTGTGCAAACATTGTCGGCAGATACATTACGAGGAAGCATCGTGAGGAAACTTTTTCAAGACTCTCCGTGTGCATTGCCGCCCGATCGACGGCTCGCACTCGCAGAGTTTTTCTGAGAGAGATGCTGCCACCGTGGTGTAATGGGTTCGCACACTGGGCTTGCAGTGCAGAAGTCACCCGGTTCGGCGCATTTGAAACAATGATGCGAAAGTCTTAAACGCCTCTAGCTGGGGTAAGCCACTGTTAGTCGATCGGCAGTTCGCGTGTGTGAGATAAAGTGTGGGTTCTCCCACTTCTTCCAAGATGTCCGGCCGGCGTGAAAGAGTAGGCCAAACTACCTTTTCAGAAGGACTTTCTGAAACCTCCACTCGTAGAGATCCTCTAGCACAGGGGTGGCGAACCTGTAACAGACCAAGAGCCAAAAAAAGTACCCATGAGTTTTGCAAAGAGGCAAGTTTTGTGTATGTATATATAAGTGCATATATATATTAACAGTTTTCGCCACAGCACGGGAGACATTCGTTATTCTTTGCTACTCCTGTGATGGTTACGCTCTACGTCACGTCCCTTTCGATAGAGCCGCATGCGGTGGATTAAAAAGAAAAAAATGCGTGCGGCTCGGGGAGACGCCAGTCGGCCACCGCTGCCCCTAGCGCTCGAGTCGAGCGGTACATTTCAGGGTTCCCACCCTGACTTGGCGACTCGCCGGTTTTTTTTTCGAGGCAGGTTCACTCCTGGACCCTCTCCGCCGGGACCGGCGACAAGGCGCTCTTGGGGGTTGTTGGCGGTGCCCGCGAGTTTCCAAACCCAAGCCACTGAATCCGGGATGAGCTGTGTGTGTGGGTGTGTGTGCGCGTGGCAGACGAGAGCCATTCCAGCAGCAGTGGCGTGAGCAAACGATTGCAGGGTTGCACCTTTAAGTTTCGGTCGAACTCTGCCCCCCCACCACCCCCCCTCTCACCGCTCCAAATACAAAGATCCCCATATAGCCTTAACAGACTGTTGGGGCAAGTGCTGTTAGCGAGTAGCACCTATGAAGGCCGGAACGGCACACGAGGGGGTGGGTGGCCAACACCACGCCCGACCGTCTTTGTCTCCCCAGTGGCGATGTTTACACATCGCACCAGTTACTCATTTGAGGCTGAGTCGACCTAGGGGAGGCCCAGGACCGGTTCAGGTAATTGTCACCGGTGTTGGCCATGAGCGGGAATCGAACTCGGGTCGCCGGGTTCGTAGCGCAGCGTTGCGCTGACCGCTGAACTACCACTTCCCCCCCACACCCCCCTCAACCCCCTCACCCCCCCGTGACAGACGGGACTACAGCAAGTCACGCTACACGGGGGCTCTGTGTGGCCTGGGCTGGGACCCCCAGACGGGAGAGGCCATTTTCACGGACCATGACATGGAGATCACCTTCGACACTTCCTTCGACATGGACGACATCATCATGGTACCTGCCGCTCGACAAAAATTATTGCACGGAACTAAAAATGGGTAATATCGAGTTCGAATCTACTCGTTTGTTCTTGTGAAGTCGTGGCACCGATGGCAAGTGATGCGGTTATTCTGACTTGCTGGATTTCTATTCTGGCGTCCAAGATCTTGTTCTTTCAAGCAAAACGCCGTATCTGGCATGATGCTATTTCCCTCGCCTGGTTTGCAGGAGGTCGGGGGTTCGATCCCAACCATGTGACACCTGTATATTTGGAGTTTGCATGTCTCTCTCCCCGTGGTCGCGGACATTTTTTTTCTTCGGGTCCTCCGGTTTTTCCCTCCACATTAGAAGCTTGCGTTTAGATTATTTAGATTATTTGGATGCGTAACATTTCCACGTGATAAGCCACTTCATTGAGCCACTATTTGTGGCCAAGTCGTTTCTGAAAAAATAAGCTAATAGCTCAGTGGACTAAATACCATTCCTATAATTTGGACTCTTATCGTGTTTTCATATTTTTTTATTGTCGTACCTATCTGACCTGCCTCTACTGGACGTCTGTATAAAGTAAGAGCTTTACAGCTCATCGGATTCCTCCAGTATAAATAAAGGTTCTGATTCCCATACATTTTGTTGTGAGCATTGTACACCACGTGACAATTTTATTTGTTCGACTGAGTCAGGTGGTGGAGGGTCTTGACACGAAAACATGTCGAGATCGTTACGTGGCCTAACCGAAAAAAATCAATGAGGAATCTTAATTTTCTGAACAATATTTGATTGCCATTAGTTTCCGAATATTGGTTCCTCTTGCTCTCTCGGTGTAACTCTCAGCGTGCGTGTCTCTATTCTTCCCCTGCGCGTTCATCAGCCTCCGTTTCCACGGTCGGGTTGATCCCAAGTCAACAGGTTAATGTGTTGGTTTTAAAATGCAGGTGTGCGAGTGTGTTTAGTGTAATTTGTATCGCTTTGCTTTAAATATTTACCCTGGATTCGAAGCCCTATACGGCATCTCTTTAACATTGTAGATCTGACAACACAAACAAAAGTGGATTTCACGGTGGGTTTAATGAGAGAGGGCTGTCTTGAAGTCAGCGAACCAAAGCAATTGACTCACGACGACACGAATTCACGGGCGTGGGATGTTTGATAAAAAAAAAACAATGCCAGAAATTAATATTAATTTTAAGAATATATACAATTGCAGAGGCGACGCAAGCACATGTGTACAATGCAGTGAACTCTCGCTCGTTTTTAGCGACAAGAGTCACTCTCGCGAACGAGGCCACATCGACGGGTCCATCGGCTTCTGTGACCCGGCTGAACGAAGTTAAACTTGAAAACGACGAGACAAAAAAATAACGATCTCCGGTTTCGTTTCAACGGACGTTTACGAAACGAACGCGACGGGAGTGTCGCGATAGCCTCGACTTCCTCCCCCCCCTCCACCCACCCCCGTGCCTCAGATCAACTCGCTGCGCATGGCCATCAACGTGATGATGGCGGAGGACGAGGTGACAGCGCAGTGGAGCCAGGTGGCGGTTCGCCGCCTTCAGCAACGCACACGCAGCCGGCTGCTCGAGTGAGTGATGAAGACGGTGGGGTGGGGTTGGTGGCTCACGAATATGGGGGGAGGGGGGGGGGGGACGCTTTGTCTCGTAACCTCACTCTGAAACAGATCTCCAGCGACGTGTTTTTTTCGAGTTGTGCCACGTGTCGTTCGGCGCGATGTCCGAACCCCCCACCCCCCTTTACGATAGCCTTTTAGGGGGGTGGGGGAGGACCACGGCTCTAAATATGACTCTAAATACGACTCTAAATATGACTCTAAATGTGACTCTAAATGTGACTCTAAATGTCTCATTCGCCACGCGGGCAAACCGCGCGCCCATCGGGCTTGCTTAGAAATTCCACTCGCGAATGCCGTGGTCGACAGATCCTTCCGTGAGACTCGCGCATTTGGTTTGACGTGGACGAGCGTTGCTTTCGTGTGAGACTCTCTACCCCAGACAGCGATGGTGGTGGGGGGGGGGGGTAGGTTCTGCATCACTGGGCTCTGATCGATCAGGTGCTCGTTTGGGATATTGATGTTCGTCCCAATTTGTGTCGCCTCTTGTCTATGGGTGCCAAAGGCCCTGACGGGTTAGAATCACTCGCTCACGACTGTTGGTGACCTGTGCGTGGGTGGGATCCGTGCCACGGAGTGCGGGGGGGGGGGGGGGTCGCGTCATCGCGCACGCGAGCGTCGCCCAGCGTCGCCACTTCCTCCGACTACAACGACGGCTGTGCCTACGTGGACGTCGGACGTGCAGACATGTCCAAAACATGTTGGGACATGTTTGGACAAGTCCATTCACATGCGGGTAGTTTATTTGTATAGTGTCTCTCGTAGATCGCAAAGCCACGTACAAGAATGTATGATTAATATACTTCCTCATGTAGGTTCATTTCCATTCTGGTATCTCCTAATAAAGGGCAGCCATCGGAAGCACAGGAACTGGTTTTTTTTTAAATGCGCTACAGAAACAGTGTTTTCTCAATTATACTCTGCATTAAGATTATTCAAAACTGTAGATGATGAGAAAAGCCATCGGAACAGGATTATCGGTGCAGGCCAGAAAAGTTTGAAACAACAACACAGAAACGTGTTGTATTATGCCACAGCCACCAGCAGTTCCTGAAGAACTCTGAAGCTTCAATTATTACGTGATGGCCGCGGTAACATTTTGTGCACCACCTCACACAGCGTACAGAGAGAATTTAACGTGTTTAATCGTCTACGTTGGTTCGCCTGGTTATTTAATTACGTAAATGTCAAAAGCATAACTTTTGGCAGTGGAACATTTTAAGGACGTCCACGGTCACACAAATAAACCATTCGCATTTCGGTGAAGTAATGTCGTCGTACTTATATCGCCATTAAACTCCAGTAGAAAGGTTCCCTTCGATAGATCCCAAACTCTGGATTTTTTTTTGACATTCTGACAGAGCATCATCGGTCTGAAAAACATTTTTATGACCCCCCCCCCCACCCCACCTGTTTGTGTATTTATAACTTTGCAGAGCATCACATTCTCACCCCACTCCCTGTTGAAACCTGCCCAACACGTCCGTGGGAGATATCGCTTGGCACACCTCTCCGAGTTGTTATTTTTAGCTCGCGGTAATCGCTTTGAATGCTTAATGGCATTGTAACCTCTCGGCGCAACTGGAGTAATTCCTGGAGGCGTTAGGGACCGCGATAGATTTTTATTTCCTAGGCTGTAAAAAAAAAAAAAAGGCGTCTCGCGACCACCGTCTTGATTCATGACGTCGCGCGTGTCGCCGTGCCGGTCGGTGGCGTCCCACGCATAGTGGTAGACGCACGCCGTGCTACCAACGCCGCAACCTAGGTTCAATTCCCGGCCACGGCTAACGTCGGTGACGATCGTTACACATCTGGATCGGTCCCGGTCCTTCCCTAGCCTTGTGTAAAACCATCGGTGCGAGGGAGACAAAGGCAGCCGGGATTAACTGGCCCTGGCCACACGACTCATCCCCCTCCCCCCATCCTGTGCCGTGCCGGTTTACACACGTGCCCGCTGGCCCCAAACTCAATCTGCAGCACCACTTACCTGCCCCCCCCCGCCATGGGAGCGTTTAAGGGCCGTGCGGGCGATGTTCGCGTTTGCCCGTTGTGTGCAGTCTCTTCTTCAATAAGCACTCGAGGAAGCCGATGGAGCCGTTCTTGTACAACTCGCCGTACCGCTGGAATCAGGTGAGGATGAAATGGGGTGGGGGGGGGGGGGGGGTCGCGCACGTCCACGGGGGGCGGGGTGGGGGGGGGGGTGAAGAAGGGGGCGGGGTGCGCACGCCCAGGGGGGGGGGGGGGCTGGGGGGGGTGAAGAAGAAGAAGAAGAAGGGGGCGGTGCGCACGTGTGACATCACTTGCCGAAGCGCGGCACTCCGGCAGGTAGCTGATCCGGCCGACGACCCATTGCGCTCAAACCGCCGGGCTGCCCGCGATGATGGATAGCATCGTCGTATGTGAGGGGGGTGGTGTTGGGGTGGTGGGGGCAGGGGGGGGGGGGCAGGCACAGGCAGCAGCAACGTTGTGGGATTTTTGGGGCTAACGAAACCTGTTGAGCTGCTTAAGCTGCGATGAAACATTGAACGAGGAGTTTGAAGCGCCGCGTGTGTGCGGCGCTGGGCAGCCAGCGGAATTCTGCCCCGCCCCCATTGGACATCTGTGAAAAAGAGCTTTAAATCTCATCGGATTCCTCCAGTATGAATACACATTCCGATTCTGAATTCCAATCGTGTTACATCTCCGCCACACCCCCCCACCCCCTGCGCCACCCGCAGATCCCTCCGGACGAGCTGTTGCCGTACAGCGACGAAGACGAGAGCGGCAAATGCCAGCTGTACCAGCTGCACAAGTCGGTGCTGCTGAACGTCCGCTGCCCCAGCAACGATGGCGAGCCGCGCTAGGGAGGAGAGAGCGGCGCGTGTGGCTTTCACGCTCGCACGCGCTTGCCCCGGCGAGTGTGTAGCGTGGACAGGTCGGGTGGTTGCGCGCGTGCGGACTCGCTCGCCGTTGCGCCCACCGTCGCCACTGCAGCGAAGCGCCGATAATTATAAATCCGGATTGCCGATTCGCCAGGCCCGTTCTCTCGCTCGTGGTCTGAAAAAACAAAAAAAATCCTAACCGGGGTCACCTTTACGTCGTGTCGTTTCGCGCAAATTGCACCTCGCAATTGGTGAGGAATCGCAGACAAAGACGGAAAATGTTTTCAGCCAGTGCGTGTTGATACATGTGGGAGGAAAGCAAAGTGTCCGGAAAGAAAAAAAAACACATGCATGTGAGGGTGCTGTGCCACATTCTGTGTTGCACCTCTATGCCCAAGGGAAGACAATTTTCACAACATTTGTCTGATCCAGCAAACCCTCCTCCCTGCCTCTTCAGTATTGGATTACAGACCACGTGCTTAGCGTGACTTCCTCATGCAGCACCATCTCCCCTCACCCAACGATCTCCCCGCGCCCAACTACGCGCACGGCAACCCGAAGTCCACAGCGTAAAGGATGAAAAGTGTTTCATTTCCGATACATTTAAAGCGTTATATTATTACAAACAGTGTTACATATCACGACAACTTCGTCGTTTTTCTCAGGAAAATTCAAGTTGAACGTCCGTTCTACTTGATAGAAAAAATATAATTTTTTTTGAAGTCAGTTTTGAGATGTGCAGATTTGACGATACCTTAAATTGTGTTGTAAGCGCACGAGGATTTGTTTTATTTATTAATCGAGCAATCTCGGGGTTGGGGAAGCGTTGGCGTAACGGTTCGCAGACCGCGCGGTGAACCCAGCAGCCGGAGTTCGATTCACGGCCACAGCAATCTGAATCCCAGTACCTGGGCCTCCCTTCACCAACCCGCACTGACCGGCATGGTGAAGTATGTTCAGACGATCCCCGCGACCGACCGAGGTTAAGCGGAGGAGGGTTGGCAAATGCTGTGCTCCGGCTAGTTTGATTTACCAGGGGCTCTACGCGATTACATTGTCAGTTTAATCTTAAGAGGCAGGAAAAACATTTCGACCTTTTCTTGTTCCTGTTGTCATTTCTGGATTCCTTGACACGCGTGACTCCTTTGTCCATCAAGAATGTTGTTGGACGTCTTCGTCCGCGTGCGCAGAACCTACGGCGCTTGTCAACGCGCGTCTCGCTGTTGCCGCTGCTGGTGCCGCCGTTGTTGCATGAAGTGTTCCGCACGTTTTCCTTGGGAGATAATATTAGTTTTACATCTTGGCGCCTTTTACTGTTTGACCCTCGGAAGGTATTTGTGCCGCGTTCAGTGACGAGGTTCGTCGGTTTCACACTGTGTCATCTTTGCGCACCGTGACCCCGACCCACGTGCTGCCGCCAAGCCAAATCACATCCGGGTAACAAAGCAACGACAACAAAAACAAAAATCTTCGGAACGTGTTTGTCTCCATCTTGCTGCAGAGAATCGCATAGCTATCAACCCACACGGTTTACCCGTATTCTCGTACAGGGAAATTGAGTTTTCAGGGTCCATACGACGTACGGACGTTTCAAGACGGGCTTCGTAGGATGAACGTTTGAGATTTATAAGGGGCACGGGGTGACCAATAAGGTCTGAATTGGTCTGTAATAAGGTTAGGGCACCGATGAGGGTTTGACAGGTATGGGACCGTCAGCTCGGTCGTGTGCGTGCGATCACTTTACACGCGCACACACACACAGCCTGTCCACCTTTATTCCCACGTGCGCTTACGGGAATCACCCAACCACCTTACCCCCCCCCCCTCCCTGCAATACCAGCGACGGGGTGATGATATGTTGTTGTTTTTTTCCCACTGGGTTGTTTTCTTGTCTGCACGGTTAGCCCTTGCTGCGAAACTCCGTGCGGCGAAATGTTGAAATTATTGAACGGCGTTCGCATAAATTCGCACCGGAATAAAGACGTCGAGAAACGCGCGATCGTCGTTCTCACAAGTGTCGTCCTTGGCATGACGGGCGGGGGGAGGGCGGTGTGAGCGAGTCTGGTTCTGTACGGTGTTTGCGTTCGAAGCAAATATTGACGTGGTGCACGTGCGTGTGTGTGTGTAGTTTTATGTTTGTGTGTAGTTTTACATGTGTGTGTAGTTTTATGTCTGTGTGTAGTTTTATATGTGTGTGTGTAGTTTTATATGTGTGTGTAGTTTTACATGTGTGTGTAGTTTTATATATATGTGTGTGTGTGTGTGCTGGGGAGCTGTAGAGTGGCGCTACGAACCCGGCCACCCGAGTTCGATCCCCGCTCACGGCCAGCACGCAGTGACGATTATCTGAACCGGTCCTGGACCTCCGATAGGTCGACTCGGCCTCCAATGAGGACCCGGTGCGGTGTGTAGTAAACATCGCCACTGGGGAGACAAAGGCGGTCGGGCGTGGTGTCGGCCACACACCCCCTCGTGTGCCATTCCGACCTTCATAGGGTGCTGCTCGCTAACAGCACTTGCCCCAAGAGTCTGTTAAGGCTATACGGGGGATCTTTGTGCGCGTGTACTGCGAGGAGGCCAGGTGGCCAGTGTTGGGTTTCGCTCGCTGGCGAGGGCGAGCTCGTCAGGCGGAAGCCGCCAGACGTTCGAAACCCCAAGACAGACGCCCGCGGTGTGGTTGTTTAGCCTCTGGTTGTTGCTGTACTTTAGTACAAAAGCGGTCACTGCATCGTGCGCTTGCTTCTGCGGCCGTCTGGAGAACGCTCTTCCGATATTTCGGAAGCCACCGGAGCTGTGCATTTTTAAATGATCTCGATTGAAAAACTCGGTTTCTTTTAGAACTGCGTTTTTTTTAAAATGCGTGTTTCGTTTGGTGCGCTGAGCAGCACGGTTGGCTTACGTACGGTGCGAAAGAAGTTCAACACATCGCCCGGTTGTTCATCGTGAAGACGAGGCTGACCCGCAAAGGTCCAGCGACACAATCGCACGTGCAAGGCGCGTGGCGTTAATTGTCACGGGTTCAGAGACTTCACTTAAACGGCAGCATCTTTGCCAATATCTTCACAATGAGTCATTTCACCTACAAAACCCCCCGCCTCGTAAATTCGCCAGCATTTCAAAATATGAACAAAGTGGAACGAGAATAACCACTTCGTACGTTTTTCAGGGTGCAAAAAAATGTTAACACTTATAATGGGAAAAAGACCGGGTAATAAACTGCAACATAATAAATGTATGTTAATAGCTTCAAAGAGTCTCCACTTGTTCGCCATCGTCAACACGTGCCTGGAATTTTCTCCAGGTGGTCTCCAAAGCCCGGATGTACATTTATTGTGGTATTGTTTGAAATTCTCCGAAGTGTTAACATTTTCTTGAAGCACCCTGTATCTAGTTTTTGGGGGGGGTTTAATGTCGAGGGACTGATCTGTAAATTAGACGAATTATCTGCGTAGATTTTGTTCCAGTTTTTTTCTGGGGGGGGGGGGGGGGCTCTGTGCATTCACATGCTTCCTGTTCACCGTGTTTACCACCAACAATTCTCTTAGCCGATGCCAAACATCAACTACTGCATTGGCAGTAAAATGTAGCTTGGTTATTGAAGCACCCTGTACAGACGCTAAATCGGCATTTCGTTTCAACGGCGCCAAATCAACGAAGCTCCCCCCCCTCCCCCCTTAATTTGAGAGGACAAATTCATCGTCTCGAGTCGAATGAATGAGAGAACGTTCCTGGTGGCCCGGACAGGAGGGTACGTGCATCGCCCAGCCCTACGCCACGTTCACCAGGTGTTCTGGAGTCGCACAATAACAACAATAAAAAATAAACAATGTTCGTGTATGTGTGTGTAAACACGCACATGGCAAGTCGCGGTTTCAAAAACCACAAAGGGAAATTTCGGACCGCGTTTATTTTTATCGAAGAATGTTGGCGAAACCAGTTTGGTGTCATTCAGTTGCTTTACTCACCCCCGCCCCCCAAATTTTTTTTGTTTAAGTTTTATTAAATGTCGCGAGTTTGGGTGCGCATTTAAACGGCGTGTAATGCACCTGACGCCCATGACCAACTCATCTGGAATGTCACCGATCTGGAAGCTAAGCAGTTTTTTTTTTGAGCCTGTCTGTCTGCGGGGGCCCACGTGCAGGGCAACATGGGAGGATGGGGGCAGTGCATCAAAATCTATTAGACTGTACTTCCATGCTGCCACGAACTGTGCTCCCTGTTCGAATTCCGCATTGACCAGCGTGGTGAAGTATCGTCAATAACATCCACACGACCCGCACAGCGTTGCGAAGGCCTGCGTCCGTAATTGATTGGAATGAAAAACAAATAAAGAGTCTGAACACGTACAATACATTGATTCATCGATGGAATATACCTTAAGGATCAGATACATCGAATTGTATGCGTAATATATTTTGATGTTTGGAATAATACAGTCCTGCATTGACAAATGGTGTGCTCAAGTGATATTTTAGCGAATGGAGTGAACATCTAAAACAGTACAAACAAACACAAGAAATCCATCAGGATTTTTTTTGGGGTTAGATCGCGTAAATATCATAACCTGTCAACCCCTTATCAGTGTCCTACCTTATTACAGACCAATTCAGACCTTATTGGTCACCCCGTGCCCCTTATAAAACTCAACGTTCATCCTATCGCAAGGGAGAAACTCAAACAAATAGACACAAACATTAGTTTTTGCCCGTATTGAAACGGCTGTACGCCGTATGGAAAACTCAGTTTCCCTGTACAATAATTAGTCAAGTTTGTCACGTAAACAAAACATTCCGATTAGTTACTAGTTTAGTGTTGGAGAGTAAACTGCAATAATTTACAATTGGAGTATGACGTTTCGCCGGTAATTACAACCAGCCTCATCAGACTGGATTATGGATAATATTGGTCGCGAAAGCCAACCTGTCAAAAAAAATAACTAGAAACTGAAATTACTAAAATAGATTATTATGTTGAGTCGTGGTCCTACATTGCGACAATCGAATTTCCGGATGGGGTAAATAATTGCCCCCCCCGATGATTTCAGGGCTTGCTCTATATGGACAGCGTTGCATGGCGTGGGGTACTATGTATTTTAGAGATGTAATTCTTTGACAAAGATACATCGTTGACTTGAGAAAGCTCGGTGGGCTTGGGCACGACGTTACAGCTTACAAGGTAATCACGGCTAATGGTCCAAACCAGTTGTGTGACAGCCAACGGCACCTAAGAAAGCCGCCAATCGAGGAGATGGAGTGATGAAATCGGCTCGTGTGCGGGAGCGAGTGGGAACTTGCGAAATACCGATACACTTCGGGAGACCATCCAACAGTAGATAGGTCATGGCCGATGATTTTAGGAAAGGTTCGTATGTTTGGCGTTTGACCTTAAATGTTTTATTTTACTCTTGACGGCAGTAAGTGCGTGTCTTCTCCGAATGACGTGGACTCAACCGTAGATCAGTGGAAAGGAAATCATCATCGTCGCGATCAGCCATTTTCAACCCACAGCTGGATGAAAGGAAGGCCTCGTACCCCCGCAACACGTCACCGTCTCTCACAGCAATGCTATCCAATCTACCTAACGAGCTCCTCCACGCGAGCTGATCTCATCGGGAAGAAAGCCATCTCCTCCTAATTAGCAACATCGATTACGTGGTCCAACCAATTGAATCCCCCTTCCCCGCTGTCGATTTATTACATTTATTGTTGTTGTCTCGTTTTCACCCTCTCGTTTCCTTCCCCCCCCCAACCCGAATTGATTTGTACAGTGTTTTGTTTGCTCCATGAGCCAGCACGTGACAGCGTATGGTTTGTATATAATTTACACACACTGTACATAATCAGCTCTCATCTGCGTGACTCGGTGCGTGCACCCTAACTCGTGAGCGTAAGATTCAAATGTATTCGACTAATGTCTATGCATCGTGCGCCACGGTGGCGAAGATGTTAACTACCTCGCATGGTATACAGGAGGTCGTGGGTTCGAGTTTCCACGTGCTCCCCGTGGTTGCGTGGAATTTTCTCCGGGTTCTCCGGTTTTTCCCTCCACAGTTAGAAACGTGCGTTTAGAGTATTTGGTTTGCTAGACATTTCCACATGGTGAGCCACTTCGTTCAGCTATCATTTCCAGTGAAGGAAAAAAAGTATTTGATCCCCTGCTGATTTTGTACGTTTGCCCACTGACAAAGAAATTATCAGTCTATATGGTAGGTTCATTTGAACAGACAAAATAACAACAACAAAATCCAGAAAAAGCATGTCAAAAATGTTATAAATTGATTTGCATTTTAATGAGTAAAATAAGTATTTGACCCCTCTGCAAAACATGACTTAGTACTTGGTGGCAAAACCCTTGGTGGCAAAACCCTTGGTGGCAAAACCCTTGTTGGGAATCACAGAGGTCAGACGTTTTTTGTAGTTGGCCACCAGGTTTGCACACATCTCGGGAGGGATTTTTCCCCACTCCTCTTTGCAGATCTTCTCCAAGTCATTAAGGTTTCGAGGCTGACGTTTGGCAACTCGAACCTTCAGCTCCCTCCACAGATTTTCTATGGGATTAAGGTCTGGAGACTGGCTAGGCCACTCCAGGACCTTAATGTGCTTCTTCTTGAGCCACTCCTTTGTTGCCTTGGCCGTGTGTTTTGGGTCATTGTCATGCTGGAATACCCATCCACGACCCATCTTGAATGCCCTGGCTGAATGTTGTACGGAGTCACGGCGAAGGACACTCTCCTGCGGGTTTAAGTTGGAAAATTCTGCACGAGGCCAGAATTTGAAAGGTCGTAAAAAAAACCACCCACGGATAACAACAGAGCAGTATGGACTCGACGTCTTTATCTCCATTTCCTTTTATCAAGGGTCCTCGCACGCATGTCACAAGTGTTCGTTTGTGAAAGATCCGGTCTCGATCTGACCGGACCTCGGCAAGAGCTGGATCGAGACGGGCCCAGCTCATACCAGGGCGGATCTAAGCTGGCGCCAAGTCCCTCGGCTCTCGAGTTCACCTGTGGGAGGGGT